AATAGTGACAATCTAGGATAAGGGCAGAGGTTGTCCTTAAGAGTCCGGGATTTCCCACAAACTATAGACTTTATTCTCTGTAACTTTCATCAAATAAAATATGTACTGTAGTTCCAAAAAAGGAAAAAAATAAACTACATTTCCCAGCTGACCACAGCATTTACTTTGGAATAAGCATTTTTTCCCCCGAGGTAATGGACCGCAGGTGGCGTCAGTGATGGCCTGCGCTGATCCGCCTTCTAGTGAATATAATTAAAATATGTGTTCGTTTACCGAAAAGCCTTTGTGGTTTGCTTGTGATGTTACGGCTTCTGCCTCTGCGTTTGTAACCGCAGTGTTCACCGGTGGCCACTAGGGGGCGCAATGCGCCGCTGCGAGTCCACTGGGTCTGAGCAGGTGTGGAAGCGGTTGGCTCGAGATGAGCACAGCGTGTCTCCTTCCAGATCTATTTTCCGAGAGATGTCTTAGTACTTCACCTGTATCCCTCAATAAAAAAACTAGATATATGTGGGCATTGTCTTAAATATTACAAATGCATGGTTTGTATATGAAGAACGTTTAAAGGCACCACCTCTACAGTACAGTACTTTGGAAACTCAAATCTGTTGATCTGTTAAAACTGCTTTTAGCGTGGTAGACCTGGAAATTCACGACTGCGTTTTGGCAGGGTTTACAATCGCGGAGCTAAACTCCATAAATATCCATCCAATTTGAAAACAAACTTTCATGAAAAGGTTAAAGACACAATACAAAATGAGATGGAAAGTCGAAAAGAATCTCTCCTCCACCGAGAGCCGCCGCGCCTGTCTTTAGTGCGCTGCGCCTTTAAGACGCCCGTCTCCAAGGGATAGCGTGTGACGTCAGCAGCGCCGTATCCAAGCCCCAGCGAGCTCCAGGCGGGGAAGAGGGAATCTCGCGGCTGTCCCCTGCGGAGTCTCGAGGCGAGCGAGGCAATTTCAAACGGCTCCCGAGAGCGCGGCGCGGCGCGAGGACACCGCGGCGATGGCAGGTAGGACACGGAGCGGGAGAGGAGCCGTACTTTCTGAGCGGAAAAACTCTGTAAACTGCGAGGGGTAGAATTGGACAAGGGAGCGGGTGTGAGAGCGACAGGCGGAGATGGGAAGAAAGTGAGGTACGGGGTGGCGGACCCCTGCCTCTGGTCCCGGGGGCGCCGCATCCCTCGTACCGAGTGTGGAGCCCCGGCGGACTGCGCTTAAATAATCAATTTACACGACAGCTGGGCACACTGGGGCAGGAAACAGAGGTCCGGTGTTTTATTTTTGAATGTTAGACACTGATATTTCTTGGGAATTGAGTAGTACTTGGGGGGCAAAAGGTTAGAAAAGATCCCCCCCTTTTTAAATAAAACAAAATTCTGATGACATTAGATTGTGTTACAATTTCCCGGTGCGGGTAGGAGAGTCTTGAGAGACCTTCGCGGGAGCAGTCTGGATGTCAGCCGGTTTGCTGGCGAGGGATGGCGCGACAGGTGGATTGTGTTTGATCGCGAAAAGAACAGGTGTGCGCATTGGACGGGTAGCTTGCGTTCGGCAACTTCTTCGATTTTCATCCCTGCCGTGTTTTTTATTTTTATTTTAATGCGACCACCTGGATTATGCTCACTGGAGAGGATCACCCTTCCCTTACATCTAAAGTCGGCGAAGACTCGGCTTTGTGCTTCTGTGATAGCCGCCAGTGTGTCAGATCAAGTGTATCAGAAAGTGGTTAGTCATCCCGAAAAAAGCACAGGAGTCTTCTTTCTCATGAAGTCAAGATGATAAAGGGGAAGGAGGGTGTGAGTTATGGGGTTTGATGTTTAATTTGCATTTTTTTTTTTAGAGGTTGGAATGATTTTACTGTAAATTACTCAGACTTTGATCGTAAATTACTGTTTCTGCACCTAGACTCTGTGGCACATGTGAAACCCAACAGGGAAGATGGCTAATAAGTGTCTGTTAATGCAAGCATGTGACGCACGTATCGATAGGCGATCGCTCTGATCAGGAAGCTCTCCGCGTCCCAGCGGGACGGGGGTCGGAGAGAGCCCTCAGCCCACGGGACGTCCCGGGAGGGTCAAGTCGGAATAATACGCAGCTGACGGAGAGAAGTCCGCTGTACCCGGCCGCAGCTGCAGTGAACATGAGCGAGTCGGGCAGTCGGTTCACCGGTCGTCTGTTCCAGCTGATGCGGGGTTTCGCCTGCCGCAGTTCTTGTACAACTGTTGAAACTTTCTCACAAAAATACATCTGCAGAGGTGTGTGGGGGTGATCCGAACGAGAAAGCGGGCAGGGCATCTCGATTAAGCGGCACCTGGATTTATTTGACACAGCAGGTAGAGAAACTGGCTGCTGAGAAGGAAGGATTGAACTTTTCTGCCTGGAGGCTGTGGACTCTCTGGGTCGGGTTCCGGTCCGGCTCGACTCTGCTCACCGGCCTTCGGGTCAGCCGGTGCGGCACTTTACAGTATCACTTCTGTCGAACCGCAGGTGAAACTTGTTCTCAAATCGCAGTGCACCGCAGTTTTCATTGTCCAGCAACGTTTTAACCTGAAGCTAAAAAGAACCTAAAGCTTTGTTTCCCGTGAACACGGTGAATTCTGAGCTGGGGAGACGCGTGTGTGTCCTGTCCAGCCCGGGTGTAAGGGAAAGGCCTTTCATTGGTTTTCTGCAACTAAAAAAAAACCTCTTGACAAAGTCTGAAAGCATACGGGGGCAGACGTGTTGCTTGTTTGCCGGTTCCCCCGGTTTTTAGACCTTTCGTGTCATCTTGCATGCACTGTGAATAACCTCTTGGGTTAAACACACAAGGCAACGGAATTGTGCAATCGCAGAATGACAAGTCCAGTCCCGGCCCCGTGGCGTCCCCACGACAGCCCTATTCGCCCTTGTCGGGTCTGGAGCACCGAGACCTTCGGCGGCCTGTGCCCGACACGTCCGGTTTGTGCCCAGTGCCGGGAGGCTGGCCGCGCGCTGTCGGGGCTGTGCTGGAGCACATCAGGACGCGCGCGTGTCTGCTCGCTTGTTAAAGAACGACAGAGCGTGTGCGGGGCGCCCTGCGAAGCTCTGGTGTGCGTGTATGTGTGTGGAGGCTTGACAGTCGAGGCTTTTTCACAGCTCGGCGTGCGGTGTTTCTTCGGGTTTTCAGCGCGTGCGCATTGCGAGTAATTTCCAGCACGCGCCCGTGGAGCCCCGGCCCGCTCCGGTGGGCGCGCGGTTCCGAGTGGGCGCTGCGGGAGCCGTCGGTGTTTCTGATGCGCGGTATTTATAGCTCGTCCCGGCCCGCAGGTACACTGCGTGAAAACGGCACAGGCTGCAGCCAGCGGCCGCGGGCTCCCGGGCCTCCACCTACCGCCTCCCCCAGCATCGCGCCAGCCCACGGCGGAAAGTAGTTCTGCCCCGTTACTGCCGGAGGCGTTCAGGCCCCGGGCTACACTCGCGCCTCTTGAGAGGGCAGCCATTGCAGTCCCACACAGCTCCAGCCGCGGCAGCAGCAGAAAAGACGGAGCGAGTCGCGCAGTGCAAGTGAACGAACCGGCCGGAAGGGCTGGTGATGGGAGTGACCTGCAAGACGTGCATGTCAACTGTGAAGGGAGGGTCTGCGCTATGTGCTGTGGCCGGAACTGCCCTTAAAAAATAACCTCGAGTCCCAGTTCTGAGTGCAGGCCGCTGGTTATTTTCATGTGTGCAGCCCGCGCTGAGAAGGAATGCTCCGGAGTCTTCGGATGTACTAAACCCGTTCACAGTGACAGTTTATGTCATTCTTATGTTGATGAACCTCTTCAGTCCCATAATGATTTCCTGTGTTTGTTTTTCTATCCAGTCCAATAGTTGGGGAGCAGTGTCATCCGAGTTTGAGATTTCTGTCTTTGAAATCTTGTTTTGCACTGTTAAGGCTCCTGGAATATCTTGCAGAGAGCATTTTGAAGCATTTTGTGCCTGCGTGTGTGTGTGTATATATATATAGTGAAGTATGTTGATATAATATGCATGCATAATATGCAAGTAAATCAGCTGTCGAGCCAGGTTGATGCTCTGTGCTGTAGCTCGGTGCAGTGCATTGCCCACTGGCCTGCTAAGTGGCGTTCAGTACTTCATGGAAAAGGTGGCAAAGTTTTCTCGTGTGAAGGGGGGTGTGAATTCTCGTGAACATGATGTGTGATTCGCTGCTCTTCATGGTTGTGTGTGCACATGCTAACAACTCCCAGGCAGTTAGAACTCTCTGCATGAGAAGACTGGTGACCACACTCCCACTTTCTAACCGAAATACAGTGCTCTTGAAAGTCTCTGTGTGTGGGGAAAGAGTGGGCAAAACTGTGAGAGGCAGCACAGCCCCCCTGTGACACTTACACTCCTATTCTTTCTGGAGTTTACACTGATTTTCCAGATGCACTGTAATTAGTTTGTGCGTGGGTGGTTTATGCCATCACAGGGTTAAATCTGAACTGCAGGTTGGCGTGTTAGTGTTTGGAGTTCCCACCTGTTTTTTCCAGCCCGAACGTTCTGAGCACATGTGAATGTCCGAAAAGCAGAGAGAAAAAAAAAACGGAAAAAGAGCGATGGTTCTGTTACTGTTGCAGGGAGGGTCGTAAGAGATGAGCGGGGCTCCAGTCGGTTCCTCGTGCTCGATTTGTCGCTCCTCCGTCTGGCCCACCTGTTTCTGCATGGATCCCAGTGGCTAGTTTCAGCAGCGCAGCTGTGCGATTTATCCCATGACCCCTGTTGTAATGAAGTGCCTCCTGTTTCCCGTCCTAAATTTGTTTTTCTGCTCGTGGTTTCCACTCGTGTTTGAAGGTCTGTTTCGCAGTAGGCACTGCTGCGCCTTCAGGGTTTCAGGAAAACCTGACTCAAATCAACACTGCAGCACATTCCTAGTGCTGCTGGCGGCAGTGGAGACTGGGGTCTCTCCATGCCTCGCTCGACCCGGTAGCTCTGTTAAACTTCTGAAAGGGCCGTACTGTTCATTGTTCCAAATTGATTTCGGCAGTATGACTGTTTTGTTTTTTACAGACCAATTTTCCTGCCCAGTTGAAACCCTTTTGAATGCTTCTGCGTCTTTTTTATAGCCATTTATAGTTTAGTTTGTGTTCTTTTTGCACAACAGGTGTCCCCTGAGTGAAACAAATCTTGAATTTAGTAGATTTAAAACCTCATTATTCCAAAGCAGCTCCCAAGCCTATACAGCTGATTTCTCTCTTACAGTGTGTTGTGTACCTCGTTGCTGGTGAAGGAACTAGAAGGCAGTGCTTATAACTGGCTGACTTTAATGCATAACATCTTCCAGCAGTTATTTGATAGTGATAGGCTGAAGTTAGATTATTGAATACCCATTTACTTAAGCAAGTGGTAATTAGGATTTGCAGTTCTCTGATTAAAGAGTGCAGTTTATATCTACAATGTTATAACTCCACCAAAACAAGGGATTTTCAGTAAAGGTGGAAGAAACCTCATTGTCAATAAGTACACTTTCGAAAACTTTCCCTCCCTCATTTGGAGGGTGCCAGTTCGTATGACCGTGACAATACGGTTTCAAGTGTGACCTGCTTTTGATATAACCTACTTAAAAGGCTGAGACTCACGTTCAAACAGAGTCATCTGTCAGAAGCATTGTGCAATTGTGCCAGAGCAGTAAGATGAGATCACAGCTCTTTGTTTCCACAGTTCTGTTGAGGGAAAAAAGCTCAACTTATTTACTGAGGTTAAGTAATCCTGGCGAAGCACAAGTAGTGGTTAGCGGCTGCCTCCTACACACCATAGGGCCCGACAATTTATACCATTGCTTCAGCACCGAATACTTTTTAGGATTGGTTTTTTCCTTGCCTTTGATGCACGAAAGTTCAAAAGAGGTGACTAAGAGCTGTGAACTGGTGTATTTCTTTGCATTTTTTTAATGAAGATAGGATTTTGAGTTGGGTGCCGGGAGCATGTTTGTTGTTTTGTCGATAGCAGCAGCAGCAGTAGATTTTGTTTGCTCAGGTATCACTCCTGTATCACTTCTCTCAAGGTCTGTATTTCTCATAAGGGATTTATTTAATAGATGGTGTGGAAGGAGCAATCATCAGGAAACCTATATAGGGTTACTATATAGTAAAGTGTAGATACGTATGTTTATACTTTTGTGTGTCTTTGTGTGTTCAGTGTTCATATGTGTATAAGTCTATACTGTATATATTTGGAACAAGTAATAGGTTTATTCCATGCTGAAAAGAGAAGAAAGAAAACAACGTTTCGGCTGTTGAGCCTTCTTTGGGTGTAAGCTTATTGGAAGATTTGGAAGCACAACCTAGACAGAGGCTTGGAGAGAGAATGATATTTTCATTCTCTACAAGCAGGGGTTTCAAGTCCTGTACCTGGTGCCCCACACACCCACTGCATTCCAACCCGCCTTCATTAGATCACTGAGTCCTTGCTTGAGCTAAGAAGTTGCTTCAATTGAATATATACATTTTGTTTCCAGTCACAAGTCTGGGATTTTAATTCACTTACCAAATAAGTCATTTTGTAATGAAATAAATACAAAATGGTTAAAGCTCCAGCATGTTTAAGAGCTGGGAACAAACAGTTCAGATTGATCTCATAATCAGTAAGTCAATGAAGGGTTTGTTTATGTGACTGGAGGCTCAGCTGGAACAAAAGCCAACAGGCGAGTGGTTCACCAGGACCAGAACTGGGAAGCACTGCTCTACAACATAACAACACAAGAAAGATTACACTCAAGAGGAGACCTTTTGGCCTGTCTGTGCTGTTGGGTAATTAGTAGCTAATGGATCTGAGGATGTCGCCCAACCATTTCAGTACAGGTGCTGAAGAACAAAACTTAGCAGAAAGTGAGATTGTGTGTTCAAAGACAGCTGAAAGCTGGCAACACACACCTCCTCCCCAGTTGTGCATCTTTTCTGCCCTGGAAATGTGGCCCTGAACTGCCAGCACTTGGACATCGGTGTCTGTAGTACATCGTGGAAGACGAGTTAGCAGTGTGCGTGTGCATATTCACGTACCTAGAGACTGCCGTTAAGAGGTTTGTTTATTCCTGTGAAGGTTCTTGTTTTCTTCCTCAGATGTTCTGTATTTTCGGCCTTCTGTGTTTTCCTCATAATTAAATAGTTCTAAACAAATTGTATTGTAAATAGTAGTTTGAAAAAGAGAAGAAAGTTTTTGCAGTGCACATAAGATGGAATTGATTTAGAAGAGCGTTACAGTCATTCAAATGTCCCGTCTTTCTGGATTTCCTCCTGTATCCGAACGTGTGAGTGTGTCGAGAGGGGTGTCTCGCGGCGCAGAGGAACACTGGGCAGTTAGACTCTCCTTGGCCTAGTGGGAGAAGCAGGGCCTGACCCTGGCTGGTGTTTACCCCATGGGGTGCCAGGAAATCTTTTTTAGAGGTACCGAGGGTCCGGGTGAGGAAGACGGGGTGCTCGTTTATTATTGCCGAGGGTCTGTCATCCGTTCATCTCACGAGTCTCCTGCTTTTGTGTTTGTGTCCTAGAAGAGAACTCCACCACGGCCTCCGTGAACATGGAATCGGGCGAATCACAGGAGCAGGCGCCTGTGGCAGGTACGTCTGCGCGATTCGCCGGTGTGATTTCCCTCTGTCTGCGTAAGAGACCGGGTCACCTGCTCTACCGGGTGGCTCGGCCTCACTGGCCACAGACAACGTGGCGTAAGTGGGGGGGCCTTGGTGCAGCCCTCCATTTCCTGCCTGCTTCTTCCAGCTCAGGGGCGCGGGGGAGCCGGAGCCCCAAGGCCTTGTCGTGAGTCCTAAACAGGCTCTTGTTTTTACATGGGTGACAGATGGGAGGAGCCCATTAGCCCTCTTTCGTTAATTTGGCTTCTAGTATTGATTGAATTGATCCAAGGAAACCGGTAACTTGGCTGAAAAGTGTGTTCTAGACCCCAGAATTCTTTGCATAAAGAAGTAGTTTTGTACTTTTCTTTAGTGTGCACTGGGGTCCATCGGTTTGCTTTTCACTGTTGATTCTGAATTCTCTGTTCAGGACTAAAAGGTTCAATTCTTTGACCCTGTCAGTCCCCAGTGCAAAATGAACTATAATTGAAGTCTTTGCATCCCAGAGAAATCAATTATTGGATCCTTAAATGCACACATTAAAATCAAAGGTTGTTTTTGCAATTCAATATCAGGACTTTTACTTCTATACCTTTGTATAAAATATAAAATAACTAGCTTAAGTATTTAAATTATAGTGTAATTTAATTAAAGTTAACTGTTGCTTAAACCTGTCTTTTTCACATTAATAAGATTTTTTAAAATCGCAGTCCGACCATACTGGATTGTAGATTTTTACATGGGAATCTCCAAAACAACCATTTCTAGGTACCTCCTGTTGATGTCTGAAATAATACAAATGCCCACAATTGAATGCGGAGCAGAGTAGGAGAAATTCTACATACAAAACACGATAACCACATGCTTTCTTCACACTACAAAACTAATTTATTAACTTATACCTTGGGTTTAATATAGTAACATTTCCTGAAGGAAGTTTTCTCTGCTCAGTTCAAAGTTTTCTGTTTTTTTACCCTGGCTTGTGTTGGGTCTTACTATGATTTCTTTTAATCTTTCTTGCCTTCTGCTCTGTGTTAGCCAAGCTAAACCACAGTGACATTTAAAATGGTAGCTGTATAGCCTTTCACCCTTCTTTCTTTCAATACATTTGTTCTATATTTAAACTGATCTCATCTCATTGGAGCACCCTTATTTGACCTGCACGGGTAGCTACAATGACTTCACAACTGAGAGGAATGTCTGGAGGCGTTCAGATATTCTCTCAGGTACCCAGTCAGATTTCATAGTTTAGAGTGTTTCTGCAAGCTCTTTTAATGTGTCCTCTTCATTGTAAGTACTCTAGGAGGGCATCTTGGCCGCGGTCTACTAACCTTCCTCATCAGCACCAGTGTAGATCCAAGCAGCAAACCCACTCTTCATCTCCCTGTATCCCTGTATCTGTGCAGCAGCATGGCTCACTGATCTTCCAACGAGACTGCAGACCAGAGTTCACAAAGTTGGTTAATTAACTGTGTGCAACACACATTAAATATCATAAGACCTCAAACGGAATAGTATTGGTAAGAAACATTAGTGACTCCTCTTAACTACATTCCAGTGCACTATCAGCAGCACCATTTTAAAATACCACTGTGGTTTGACCATTTGGCTTTCTTTTTCCCATTTGGCGGATGGATAAAGCTAATTGTGGTTCATGTTCCAGCAGGCAGTCCGACAGTTGGCACAGATTTGTCTATCCAGCGCACCCAAGAGGAGCACGAGGAGGGCGAGACCTCAGAGCAAGAGACGGAGGGCGACTGCGCTGACCCCTCAGCCACTGATGCAGACGCTGACCCAGGTGTGGTACCTAAAGCGGTGTGCAGACACGCAGGCTCTCAGCACAAACCTGCTCCCCGGAGTCTCTGGGGGATTCCTGAGCAGATAATAATCCTGTCACAGCTGTGTTATCAGTTGGGGCAAGTCATGCAGACTCTTCTGATATGAAAATAAAAGACCTCTGAAAAACGCTCTGTGGAATACGTAGTGTTCACAGTTGCTGGTGAAGACACCTCTTGCACACCTGGGCGCAGAAAAAAAACAGATTGTGAGAGATGAATCGACTTACTGATTGTTCTGTCTTAAATGAAAAAAGCAATTATTTTCTAAATCAAAGAAAGGTTCTTTGCCTCAAAAGAAATTTGTGGATGTATGCTGAGTCATTGATGTTTAATTTATTACCCTAAACAAAGGCTAGCAATAAACCGTGTTCAGTCTCCTAAAGCACCTCTGGTGCACCTCTAGTGCATTGGCTGCTACAGTTGGTCTGTAAAATTGGATAATTGGCAGGTAAGGACCCCTCTGGAATGTCTTAGGTCACATTCACCAGGGCACCGACCACTCTTCTGGGTGAAATACAGGACCCCTTGGTATCTCGCCGCTGTACTTTTCTGCAGTACTGAGTTTTCCCATTGCACAGCGATTTGACTCTTTCCAGGCATCATGAACCATGAGCCCTGACAAATAGCAAACAGTGCTGGTGAAGCACAACAGCAGTGTGTTAAATAGTCACGTTTGCTTTGTTTGTGCAAAACTAACGGAGCTGATGAGAACCATTTACCTTGTAGTGGACGGTCTTAAATAAAAGACTAAAGCTTCCCGCAAAACATGGAACTGGACCAGCCTGCTAGGCATTCAGAGTCCTGTTCACTGGAGTGTCTGGTGGGGGTACTGGGGCTGCTCGGGCTGGATCAGTGCAGATGGCCTGCTTTTAATGGGGTCTGTGTGCACTCTGAGCTGGTTTCCGCAGCCATGTTCAAAAATACCTGCAGCAGCGTGCCTCCACAGGCTCATGATCACAGCACAGCCGGATGGGAAAATGACAAAAAAACACTTATTTTTCACACTAGTCCCAGGGTTTCCTTTCGCTGTCTCTCATGCTTCCTGTGGGTTGGTGCTGAGACTGCAGGCTGGGAGCCAGGGCCTGCTCCCAGCCTGCTCTGCAGCAGACTGTCGAGGCAGCAGCTCCCCAAGAGGGGATGTCTGATTACAGGGCGCTGTGATTGATCTTTTCTTTCACTGCAGAATCCTTAGCTGCTGTGATTGATCTATTCAGTCTCACACATGATTAAAGGATCATTATGTGACACAGTGCAGACAACTTGGTAATCCTTTATTTTATAGAGCGCCTTTCAAAATGCATCATCTCTGAAAGCACTTATAAAATATATATACTTATAAAAGGAAGAAATAGCAAAAACATTAGAAACATCTAGTACAATAAACTGAGCCAAATTAATAAGAAGTGTGTTAAATTGAATTTTAAAAATGCAGACTGATTTGCAAGATCCGCTCTGGGGGTGGGAGATCAACCTATAGTCCTGGAGCAGCAGAACATGGTCCCCCAGGGGTTCGGTGCCTCATACAGGAAACCAAAAGAAGTCTGAAGAGTCCAAGAGCCAGGGCAAGTGTTAGCAGATCACTGATGTAGTCTGGTGCCAGGCTGTTCAAGCCTTTAAAGGTGAGCAGCAGTGTTTTGAATTTTATTGGGAAATCAACAGGGAGACAGTGTGCTCATGCTTTTATATTTCAGTTTAGCTCCAAGCAGTTCTGAACATATTGTACTGCAACTTAAGAAGATGTTTGTACTGTATGTACTTGCAAGAACAACATTACTGTAATGAAGCCTAGAAAATCAACTTCTACTTATCAGGCTGGCTCGCACTCGATGAGATATGAGCAATGTTCTGACAATAAAAACATACATCTTTGCAATGCTACAAATATATATTCCTGCTTGCTTAAAACGATTCCTACACCATCAAAACAAAATTTGCACAGTTGCAGAGGTGATAGCCAATCAGCATAACATTGGTCCTGCTAGAGCTGAGACTTAAAAAAATATTTTGCATCCAGTTTTTCACATAATGTAATATAAGCGGTTTGACAAGGCAGATAGTGTTTGATTAATGTCCGGTTTCGTGCAAACATAAATCTGGGTGTCATCAGCATAAATAATAGAAACCGATACCATACCTAACTGTTACCATAGAAGTATTTCATATAGTAGTGACACAAGGAAACGCAAAAGAACAGGATCAAGAAGAGTGCCCTGTGTGATGGCATTAAGTCAGTTCTTCTTGATATAAAGTTAGATTTGAGCGAGCTGTTGAATTCATTGATAAAGTTTCCAAAACCATTGCAGACACTACAGGGTGATGTCTGTCTCGGGTAAACATGGCCTCTCTGTCTCTCCTTGGGGATGCACTCTGAGCATTTACTGAGCATTTAGGCATAACACTGTACAGAAGGTACTGCTGGGGTGCCCTTTTCTTGTCCTTCATCTCCTTCTGTTTTGTCATATCCTTTCTTTATTTGTGTAACATCGATGCGTTCTTAAAACATATGAATTCAATCTAACCCCTGTAAACAAAATAATTGCCCACCCACTTGAATTGGTATTTTAAGGTTAACCACACAAGGTAGCGAATATCAGAATAATTTTTGCTAGAAGTTCCCCTTGAGAGCAAGAAAAACGGAAAACGGATTGACGAAAGAAGGAAACTTAGCAGACAAGCTATTCTGTCTGACTTTATAAATATCTTAAGTGTGTGTATTTTTTTTACCATTTCAAAAGCAGTAAATGCTACAGTTCCAGTCATACTTCACCCACATCTTACACGCTATCTCTGTTCAGCACACCTCTGTCTTAGCTCAGTGAAGGGGTTTCTCTAGCACAAGGTGTTCACGCATGAGCGGTGTATTTATGATTTCCCAGAAGGTGAAGATTATATGATGAAAATTAACACACACGAGTGAATAAAAATGAATCAATAAATACCCTTTTCATTTTCGTTCTGCTCAGCCAGACCCAGCGACCTGCAAACAGACCACTTTTAGTCGTGGAAAATCCCTTTGTTTCTGTCAGGCTGTTTTTTTGGGATGGCTTTCAAATCTTTTGACACAGGTGCGACCTTTCCTCGACATGAACTGAACTCCCCCAGCGACCTTTCTGAAGAGGCAGGTAAAAAATTAATTGCCCTGGCCACAATAGTCACTTCTGTAGGTTAACACCTTTCAATGATTACTATTATATTCAAACCATGGTGGTGGAAACAAGATCGCTCTGAAAAAAAAAACCCAGTTTTTCTACTTAAACCCGCGGAACATTTGCAGGGCCCGCAGGCACAGTCGATCAGAAATCCGCGGGACCGAGGGTGCAGCTCTAGAGATGGCGCGAGTCATTCTTGTAAATGGGGGCATTGTGGCCCTGGACTATATTTAAAAGGGACTTCTGATGCTTTTTGTTACAGTTTCCATCACACTTCAGCTCTCTCTCTTCGTGTGTGTGTGTGTGCGCGCACAAGTTGTTTTTGCAGCTCTTCACGCGTTTTCTAACCACGCTGTGGTTTCTGGATGGTGTTGAGAAGCTCGCGCGCCGGGGGAGGGTCGGTGGGGGTGCTGGGGAGGGGGGAGGAAGGGGGGCTGTGTGTGTTTCGGGCTGGAGTGCAATGGGAGTGCTGAAGCCCTGCCATGGTGCTAGCTGAGGTTCCAGCGGCACTGCTCACAGCTCGCGCTGTTTCGTGCCTCGAAAGGAAGTGCGCCTTTATCAGAGCCTCGCATCTCCCGAGCCCAGAGCTAACCCCATCTCTTGGTGGGGAGGATGCTGTCTTGCATCAGCAGAGTGCCGCTCATTAACCCCCAGCCTGCTGGGGCCAGTGCCTTAGCAGCCCAGATCAGGTCCCGTTTTCCATAGTCTCCCCAATCCCACGGACATGGCGAGGTGGCCGATTGAAGCTCTTGCAGGGAGTAGGCCTTTCAGACTTTTCATCAGTACTGCAGTGGCACTCACAAGGAAATCTTCTTGCATGCAGTTTCCTTCGGACTGCGGACCCTCATGAGTGACCCTTCCGGTTTTATGGGGTGCTTTTGCATTTTGAAAATGTAGCTTCGGATTCTGCCATGGAAAGTGAAATGAGGTGCTGTAGTTGAAACTGGTTTATGGTTCTGTTTTCCGAGCCACAGTGTCCTGCTGCTGCATTCGGTCTCTGAGTACGGGGCAAAGGCTCTTAATCTCCTCTCTGCTCAAAACACAAAGGGGAAGCGTTATCCCGGGGTGCTGCAATTGAGCTGGATCATCTTTGTAGTCTTAGAGTTTTAGGTGGCATAGGGGAGGAGCTGATACCCAAGGTTTACCATTGCAAAGAACACACAAAAATGTGACTAGCTGCAACAGATGACTTCAAACAAATGACAAGAAATAATTCAGCTAAAGGAATCCTATTTAAAGCATCTAGGCCCGTGTGTTGTAAACAGCAGAAAAAATGAAATAGAAATATTACCTCTGGCGTAGCGAAGGCCATTGAAGGCGTCAAACAGTGCCGAAGGTGAGAGAGAGAGGCAGCAGGGAGAGCCTGGGAGGCTGGGGAGATGTCCTCCTGCTCTGTCCCCGCAGGTGTGTCTGCAGGTGTGCAGCCCCTAACCCTCTCCCCCCGCAGGCCAGATGACGGCACGATAGCTCCGCGAGGGGCTCTCTGACGAGCGCCCTCTTCCTTTGGCAGCCTTTGAGCCCCCCGGCTGCAGTTTCCGTTAGAGGAGCGCCGCTCGCGCCTCGGCTGTGCTCTTTGCCTTTGTTGTTCTTCTTTTCATATCGCAAGGCGGACGAACCCTCACCTGGAGGGCAGGGGGTCTTGTCTGAGCACTCAGAATCCCCTGCTGCAGGCCCCCCGCCAGGGTTTTGAAGCCATCCAGATGAAAACACTCAAAGACTGAGAAGCACATTTTGTTGTTGGCGTCTGTCTCTGCACGATACCTGTCAAATGACATCATGCACACAAACAGCCGAAAGAATAACTGTTTATCTTGTGTTTATTTTGGCCTTTCTGGGTTCATTGAATTCCAGTTAGCTGATTTTATTGACTGACTTGTTCCTGTTCTCTCTGGCTTTGCTAAATAATTGCACTGACTTCTGTTTAAACCTTCTGCTTTCCAATTCAGCGTAGCCACTTACAAGTGTAAAGTGGGGAATTATCCCTAGAATCATGCAGTTCATGGTTGAAGTCATTATTCCAGTTCAGGAGCATGCAGTACCTTCGTCTTGTTCTAATTTCAACAAAAACACGCCTGTGTTTTGTGTCAGTGTAGTCAGATGTAAATGCTTTGCCTGTGCTCACCCCTCAAATTAAACCTCTACGAGTCAATCAGTCACCATCAGTCACCATATATGAAATGTGAAACTGAAAGCCTTGTTACATGATTCAGAACTTTCCATTTATTTTTTCACAATCCATTTGTAAGAAAAATCTACTGATGAGTAATTCAGTATTGTTCAAAGTTTTAGTTTTAGAATTAACAAGAGCAAGAAGACGGAGAACACAGCGTATTGTGTGAAGTGTGTAGTCTCGAAGCCAGGCTCTTTGAAGTCAATTCTGCACATGAAAATGATCATTCTTAATGATGAACTCTGGGAAAGCTGAAGTACAGATGCACATACTACCATAACCTCAGGATATCTGCAAGAACAAATTTGTAACACAGTCGTAAACCAATTGTCCAGGGGTTTTCATGCATCATACCCATTCCGTGTCTGCTGTTTGCCACGCTTGATCGCGTTGCAGATGTGTGACCTCTGCACATGCGTGTCTGTGTATCTGTGTAGTAATGTGCAGAAGGTTTGTCTTCAGCTGCAGCCCACTCCTCCAGCCCTGTTTCACAATGTTATGCTCATATCTTTGACCTTTATCAGGCCAAGGTAAAAGAAAAACCTCAAACCAGACCCAGAATAAAACAATAAAATGATTATAGAGACAGACAGCTTGCAGTCTGCGTGGTTTGTCGCGGCACTCTGTGTGAGGATGAGATCCGGGGAGCACGGGGGGCTCCTGGAGGGGCCAGGGGGGCTGTTTAGCTCTTATTGCCTGTGCATTTCTGGGGTTTCGGGGTTTGCGGTGGAGATGGTGGTGCTGGGCTGAGGCAGAGTCGTGAATTCTCATAGGGGTGGGCGAGCTGCTTTGGAAGACCTAGCACAACTCAGGAAGGAGCCCCCCTTCTCAGATATTTTGGGTTTGTTGAGCAATTTTTTTATTCTAGTTTCTTATGAAAATCTGGCTGTAGACAAATTGGACAAGCTGCAGCTGTTTATATATCCATCTGCATTTTCTCTTTGGCCCTGCAGAAGCTCCTTTTCTCTGTAGCTTTCTTTAGGTGTTTTGGGGTGCTTTTATTTTTCTTACTCTCTCACGGTCTTGGAGCACACATGTACTGTATAAGAAATATTTTGCAAAGTATTTTTTTTTTTAGTTTTAGAATTGATAAGAACAAGAAGACGGAGAGTACATCTTAATATGTGGTGTGTGTATGCCCAAACCCTGGGTCTTCGAAGTCCATTCTACTGTGATTGTCTGGGCGGGATTATCTGGTTGCTATAGAACTCCACTGGTAGTGATTGCTGGCAGCCTGCCTCCCTGGTGCTACATCAGTCCAGTCCTGTCCGCTCTCCTGCTTCCTGTCCTTCAGTCCTGATGTTTCAACACCCCAGCAGGACAACACCTGTCCCCATGCTGCTAGGGTTACAGCAGCTTTCTTGTGAGGTGAACAGGGGACGGTTCTGCTGGGCGTGACTTACTCCCCTCACCCAAGCCTCCTGTTCCACACTTCCATGACTCCCCAGGATCCTCCAGTGTCCTCCCACCTTTAATTGGTTAATTAGCATCTCTAAACTGTCCGTGTGTGGGGTGCAGTGGAGTGTATCCCATAATTTGTCTTTATGCTTTGGGAATAAGCTCACTGTGGCTCTTGCCCAGAATAATTGCCTTTTTTAATAATGGCTGAATGTGCGTTTATTGCCCACACTTGTACAGGTTTTCATTTTATTCATCTGCGATAAAACCGTCAAAATGGTGTCTTCAGCTATTAGTCACACTTGTATTTATACACAATCCACAAGTAGAAAAATACGAGGAATAGAAAGCTTACATTAACAGTATTGTTATTACTGGTGTTCAGACCCCATTTACATCATGTACATGGTACAATGTAAATTACTGCTTGTGTATTAAATGCTTTTAACTGTCAGAAATCCTACAAAAATCTTATAACTTGCAGATTTAAACTAAATGCGCAAACAGCTTACTTATTGCAGTACAGATAATTGTATTCACAGCAACCCATAGGTAGAATACAGTTGTGAAGAGACTGATGCTCCAGCCACATCAGTGTGTGGCTGAAAGAAACGCCCAGAGTTTCAGCTGTGGAGCCTCTTCAGGTGACGCGTGAGCGTCCTTCTCCTTCTTTCTGCTTCTCAGCCCGGAGTGCGCCTCTGCATGGTCCTGTACAGTATTTGCAAAAGCAGTGGTTACACTTTTACGTCACGGATTCAGGGGCTTCCTGCAGTCCTGAAAATGCTGAAGGAGTTATCCGCTGTATTGGAACTCTGTATTACTTTCTGAAACGAATGCATGTTGAGCGCACAGGCTCGCTACAGGCTGGGTAGACATCACTGGTTTAGCAACTCTTGCGTGGGTACCAGTATCCAAAGGTTAAAAATCAAATTAAACTTCTTGTTCTCATTGAGAGTGTGTGTGTGTGTGTGTGTGTGTGTGTGTGTGTGTGTGGACCTCATGTCTAAGCTATTTTCCCTCCGTCTTGGGTACGCAGCAGAACTGAGTTAGTGAAAGCGCCCAGAGCAGTGAAGCACACTGAATGAGAGAGACTCCACACATAGAGGAGTGCAAATAGAGATTGTTGAAAAATGTAACCAAGTTTTATTTTTAATTTTGGTTAAAAGAAAGCCATAGCAGCAATTTGTTTTATTATAAAACTGAACAGATATAAATTACATCTTTCAGTAGGACATTTGGAATTAATTGTCTTGTGGACGTTCGTGTCCCCAGCCATGTATGTGTTACGTATACATGTATTGTATTCACATTTTTGATGTCTATATATTTGTATAGTGTTCCTAATGGCTGTCTATTGGCCAAGACAACAGCTGTGACACCAGTGCAGTGAAGCTCCATGTGCAGAACGTGCCCATTTTCTTTGTTAGCGACTCAGTTGACACCTCCTTGAAACCACCGGGTCTGTGCGGTCTGCGTTGATATCTCTGCATACAAGTCTGCGAGCTATAAAAAAAGACAAAGCCAAAAGAAAAAAATCCCTGGCCGTTTTTTTTCTTGTCTCAGTAACAGTCTTTCTAATTGCCGTGTGTGTGCCAGGGCGTGTCAGGCAAGAGCAGAAGCAGTGCGGTGAGGGCTGTGTCCCGCGCGTGCGGACGGGTGTGTGCGCAGGGCAGGAACGCCTCCTGCAGCACATGCCTCGAGGCGCAGCGCCGCTGAGGGCAGGAGAGAGAAAACAGCCAGAAGCAGAAATTAATGAAACACCCAGGAGTTCTTGCTGGGGATGACAAAGCACTATATCAATGTGGTCCCCTGACTAATTTTCCATTAAAGCTGCGCGGAAAGCTTTTCTCACACTTGCGACTCCGAGGTGTTGCAGAGTAAGCAACAGAGAGGTTGAAGTGCGACGGTTTCTGGCCAGCCGCTGCGGTTGTCACGGCCCTGTAGAGACGCCGAGCAGCCGCTTCTGGTTGCGTTCACACCTCCCGGGGCCGGCCCTGTCCCCGACACGGTGCCTGTAACCGCCAGAGGCGCGGTGGGCCCATGCCGCTGGTCCCCTCGGCTCTCGGCAGGGAATGCAACTCCCTGTACCTCCTGGAAAGTGCCAGGGCGTAACTGCTGTGTGTGTGTGTGTGCGTGTGTGTGTGTGTGTGTGTTTTCCTCCTCCTTCTCGCTTCCTCTTTTCATGTGTCCTTGTGTTGTTGTCGTTTGCCCCCTCCCCAGTTGAGGTCCAGGTGAAGAACGAGCGGGAGGAGGAGTACGTCAGGAGCGAGGAAGGGGGGGAGTGCCGCGAGGAGGCGGACGCGGACCAGTATCTCTCCCCCCTGGATTACGCGCGGTACGAGAACTCGCCCGCGGACGGTTCGGCCGGCTCCTACCTGGGCTCGCGGGCCGGCAGCGGGAAGCTGAGCTGCGACATCTGCGGCCTGGCCTGCGTCAGCCTCAACGTGCTGCTGGTGCACAAGCGCAGTCACACTGGTAAGCGCCCGAGCAGTCCTCCCTGTCTGCGGCGGCTCTCTGGCCCTGCTTGCCTCCCCCCTGTCCGAGCGCAAGAGTGAACCCCAGGGCTGCTTTCCTCCGCAGTGTTCTGTGAGCTCAGCCTGTCTCCACAGAGCAGACTGGTTCTGACCCTCAGCTCCCCCGCTGTACAGAGCCCCTACTCACAGTAACAGTGGAGGAGGCGCAGCTTCTCCGTAGTGCTTGAACCAGACTGGAGTCTCTTAGTTCACTCCATCGTTTACTATGGATCTCCTTTCACCGTGGTTTGCGTTACCGTCTGTAGCACCTAGGAACACCATGATCTACCAGAGCAGATGTTTCTAAGGAATGATTTACTGTACCATGATTTACTGTTTTTTACTGATTTACTGTAAGCTTTAAAAACATGGGCATCCATTTGCAGAAACAAGGTAAACAATGATGTGAATAGAATATTTTGTTTCATAAATTTGCTGTGGTGAACATTTGCAAGGATGTGAAAACGGGGATCGGGCACCCTGTAAGACTAAAGAAGCGCCAGCGCGGTGCTCGAGCGCCCAGCACGCACCGCCGCGGCTGACCCGCGTCCCGTGTCTGGCGTTTCAGGGGAGCGCCCGTTCCACTGCACGCAGTGCGGCGCCTCCTTCACGCAGAAGGGGAACCTGCTGCGCCACATCAAGCTGCACTCCGGGGAGAAGCCCTTCAAGTGTCACATGTGCAGCTACGCCTGCCGTCGGCGGGACGCCTTGAGCGGGCACCTCCGCACGCACTCAGGTAACCCTCCCCCGCCGCCCCGCGCGCCCGACACCTCCACCCGCACACGCCCGGGGCTCGCCCAGCTGGGCCCGGTCCGCCGCCCCCTGGCAGGCCCCTACATCAGTGTGCGACTCAGAAACACCCAGGGCTGTAGCTGTGGTGCCTCTCCAGGTGTGCATGAGCGTCCTTCTCCTTCTCCTTCTCCTTTCAGCCCACCACTCATTTTCCTGTTTGCTTTCTGGGACTCAGACGTCATGTATATCCATTTGTTGATTGCATTGATACTTTCAGAAGGAGTTTCTTTAAAACATTTGCAGGTTCAATCATGAATAGAGTTTTACATGAGTGAATTCTGGTTTCAGGTTCTTCAGAGCCCTAATTGTATGTTGCAAGTTACCTCAGATAAGTTATTTAAAAAATGTGAGAATGTGATTTTGCATTGCGCTGTGGTTTGGTGCCGCTGTGTCTTCTGCTTATTATTGAAGTTAAAATCGCAGTTTATTGTAAAAGTCACAGTCCACATGGTCTTTGTTTAACGGACAGTTTTTCTGCTGTGAGGTTAGAGGGAGAGTTGATAATACATGTCCAACTGCTAACAAATAAAGAATGAACTTGTATTACCACACAGGCCTCTCGACTTCAAGAACCTGCAGAATCTTGAGAACTTGACCAGTCAAATTTTGATGATTATCTTTGAGAAGCTGCAGTGAGAGGCTTAAAGTATAATATCTACTGTAGCTACAGTAGCAGATGATAAAACTATCACTCTTTTGTTGCAGATACGATCTTGCAGCTGTTCTTCTCTGACACTTAAGGACAGAGTTCATAAAAGCAGAAGAATGGTAGCAGCTTTTCTCGGAAGTTTTATGTTGAAGACATGTATTGACTTCTCTTTGTCCATCAACTTCCCATCAGTTAAGAAGTGTGCAGGTCTTATTTTTTAAGTTAAGATCTCCTTTGTACCAATATAGGCTTTTGCCTGGAACACAATAAAAACATAACAGTTAATCTTTGGAAAGCATAAAAGTAAGAGAAAATACCAGGAAAGTATTTATGAAATGTACCTGTCTAGACAAAGGTGTGTATGCAGATTGTATCTCAAAATTCAGTTAGCCATCTCTGCTCAGAGTCAGGTCAGAAGATGTTTTTTGCTGTGTGGCTGGAAACTGTGTTAGTGTAGTCTTAGTGGTTGACTTACATAATATCAGACAGTGCTTTTAAAAATCATGGCTTTGATCTTTTTACTCTTTTCTTGGGTGGCTGCTAGTACTTCTATCCCCATCTACATGTATCTGCAGAGAACTGTGATTCCACCAATATTTTCAGTATGAGTTGCAGTGCTGAAGACATTTTTATCGCAAGATTTTATCATGCATTTGTAATCAGTTAAGAAAAAGATAGTCTCTTCTACCGGGTAGTCATATTCTGAGCTTTCTTTCCTTAAGATAAAAGTATAGAATTTTCTTTCATCTTGTTCCTGTATTTCATTCATTTTCATCTATGGACTATGACACATAGCTGATGTCATAAAACAGGCTTCCTTAAAAAACAGAATGTCCTCAAGGTTGATTCTTTGAAAAACACGTAAAAAATTCAAAGTTACAATATAGCTAAAGGTTCTGTTTTTATTGTTCTTAAAGCAACATTTCCCCTTCACTAATGTCTCAGGTTTCGCTATGCACTTCGTGGTCGCAAAAACAAGGACCAAAACCCAACACTGGTGTAGCTGGTGTGTTGTTTGTCTGATTCTGCAAGTGTGGTTCCATCTGATGTGCCCTCGAATGGCCAAAAACACAAGATGAAGTTGGGCTTCACCAGCTTTAGGTGTTGTTTTTTTATCTGTGAAGACTGGCTGCCGGTAATAGACTCAGATTCTGAGATTCACCCACACGAGTGACCGAGAAGGAAGGGGGAGTGAAGAAAACAAGAGGTTTGCAAAGGTCCTGCAACAGTAGGGAGTCCTGAGTACTTGGAGGCAACACATATAATATAGGAAAAGAAAATGGATGAAATTTTCAACCCAATTTATTGATGCAACTACCAATTATACATTCAATCCATTTTCTTGGGGTTATTACTGGGATCTGCCTTCAACAACCTGTCTCAGTACTGTCCATGATGGTGCAGTATTCGTAGCAGTATCTTTCTCTGCTTTATGTTGCTCCATTCTTTAAACATTATCTTGACTTGCTTTCTGCTCATGTGCAGAATCACCTTCTGGAGCAAGGAGAGTTCCACCAGCAGCACAATGGTGTCTGTCAGGATTTTTCTACTGAGCTCAGCCTGGGTCTCTGTTGACCAGACTGGCAGAGTAATCTAATTTTCCCCATGTGGGAGGAGACCTACTGCTGAGCATCAGAGGAATCAGAAGGGCTGCAGAGGAGAGAAATCTGTGCAACTTGTGCATCTTATCACCTAGGCTGTGCCCCCTTCTGACTGGTAGTACTGGGAACAGACTTCCAGTTAGAGACACAGGACACCAAACATGAAATATCTGAACCCCACCACCAGTAGAAAGGAAAATATCAGAGTAGCTAGTCAACACGAAATGGAATGTTTTTGAGAGGAGGGGGGAATGCCTGGTGAAAACCCAAGCAAACATAGGAAGAGCATGGCGCCCCACCCCAGAACTGGGCACTGGACCCTGGATCTATGAGGCAGTATGTGCTGCTGACCACCTCTCTCCCATGACCAGGGTGGGCCAGTCTTGTGCCCAGTGGTAACGTTGCCACCACCCACACCTGTCCTAGAGAAGCAGTGGTTGAAATGGAAATAATTAAAAAAGAATTGTGGAGCAAAGCATGTTAATCTTGGTAAAAAACCTGAAATGCTTTCCCAAAAGCTAGTTCTAAAACTGATCCAGCAGATCTCCTAACTTTAAAGATGCCATCTGTGCAATGTGATTAAACCTTGTCTATGGGTACTTGAGAACTCAGCATTGCTTTGAAGGACCATGTCTAGCAGGAGCAGGTCCATCCATGTGGTACCTGAAAGCTGTGCTTCCACTGTTCAGGGTTACAGCATCTTGTCTCCTGGAAGCACAAGGTGTGAACTGGGCCAGAGAGCAGAGGGTGGCTCTCGCCCTTGACGGGAGGCCAGTCCACAGCGGGACGGAAGTGACGAACAGCATAGGCGAGCGAAGGTGGGATGAAACCAGAGCACCTGGTGAAAACCCATGTGATCATGGGGAAAACGTGCGAGAGAGACAGACGCCTGAGGCCAGAGCAGAGCTCAGGATCCTGGAGCAGTGAGGCATCAGCTCTTGCCAACACACGTTTGTTTCAAGACTCTGATGCATGACTCCATGACCGAGACGTATTCATTTCAAAACTTCAATGGTAATCCAGTTAAAACCTCAGCTGATTTTTTTGGAGCATTTCATTCTCTTCTTATCTCAGATCCATCAGCATTTGTATCATTTCAGAGAAGTGATACTTATTTTTTTTTATTCCCGATGCAAGAAACTTGCCGGTATCAGTACTTGTGATCGCGCTCGTCAATGAGAAACCTGTGACTACGGTGTGAAACGTGCTCACTGGTGCAAGTGTGCCTGTAAGTGTGAATCGGTGAGTGGTGCGGCCGGCAATCCTAGCCCCCGGCCCGGCCGAAGCTGGAGAGGACTCCTGGTAGCCACTCACCTGCCCTCTCGTGTGTGGACAGCGGCAGCATGGTCGCAGTGATTGCTGTCTGGTGTCGTTATGTCACAGAGAACCACATCTTTTCACACCACATAACCTGACTCGGTGACTCATCTGTGAGCAGAGGGGGCAGGTACGGCAAACTTGACTTATCACAAGTCAGATTATACATCACACGTTACAATACAAACAGCTTTTTTAAGTGCATCGTCATTATCTCCAGCATTGGAAGGAAAGCCATGCCCTTAGCTCTCCTAAGGGTGGAGTCTTACTCATCTTCAGCTCTCTTTATTTTTTTGTTTTTAACAAATATATTTTGTTGAACCCTGTGTTTCAGCCGCATTTTGAATTCAATGTCTATCCCACCCAAGTTTTCCATTTTCTCTCAAAGTTTTAAGAATACATTTTGTTTTTAAGAGTAAGATATGCCCTTATAATGTTTAAAATATATCATTTGAGAAAAATGAAATATAATCAGGATTTTGAAAATATCATGTAAAGTAAAGGAACATGTACCCTTGTACTTTTTATCCTTACCTGAGTGTGAAGTCTGGCACTTTTTAACACCTACAGCTTATTGTACTTTAAAGAGCCAAACCAGGCTCAAGTGGAAATTGGAAAGAAGAAAATCTATACCATGTATATATCTTACAAAGGCTGGGGAGTTGATTAATGTTTTTACTAACAACATGTTGTTTTCCATAATGTGCCAATCAAATGATTCACATTGTGAAAGTGCAAAAAAGAAAACAAGTGTTGCAATACACTGCTACAAAAAGACAAAACTGATGAAATCGACTGATGTTAGCCAGTTTGTACAAATCGCAACGAATCTTCACATAAGGACTATCTTGAGTCAGACTAGTAGGAAGCAGGAAAGCTCTGCTTAGTCAGACCTGTCCTGGATTAAAACCTTTTTACACAGCAGAAAGTCCATGGCAGGGATTTGACTGGTAATAGTCATTAAATAGTACAATATGGTACTGTATGTGATACTTTGAATAGGTCTTAGGCACATCCTTTCCAAAGAAAGAACATCGAACTGTAGTGTTGCTGACCAGTTCATTCAAATTATGATATAACAGCTGTGTTTTTCTTAACAGATGTATTCAAGACAGATGGTCTACGTATATAACAGCAGGCGCTGTGAATTACTGTCACTTTCTGTGTTTTCAGTGTGGGATTATTAACTTGTCTGGTTGGTTGTTGGATTGGTTTTGCAGTGGAGAAGCCGTACAAGTGCAACTACTGTGGGAGGAGCTACAAGCAGCGCAGCTCCCTGGAGGAGCACAAGGAGAGGTGCCACGTGTACATCCAGAGCAAGGGCCACAGCGAAGGAGGTACGGCCACTGACCGCGCGCCCGTCACTCCGCCCGTTTTGCTTCCAAAGAGGGCGAGTCCGTCGCCGTACAGCCTGCGTCTCACCCCAAGGACAAAGCGCAAGCAGGGTCACGAGCTGGGCCTGCCCCTCTCAGGGCGGTGCCCAGTGAGCCGCTGGCAGGGCTATAGGTTTTGAGCCCAGAACAAGGATGGAAGCATCCTTAAAGACCGGCCTTCAAAGATTTAAACTGCTGTTAAGAGTCAGGAAACATTTCACTCCCCTTTTGTTTTTTTTGGCAAGTGTTTTTCCTATTATAATAATGTGCCTTAGGCCTAAGAGTAGTGGAAAATATTGACTACAGCTAAAGGGTCTTTAAACTTAATACGGAGTTTTTTGGGGGCGAGGCTGTGTTACAAAATATGCTCAGAAAAAAGATTGATAAATACTTTGCTTGCATGCATGATTCTCCTAACACAGGTGCATGTCTTCTCCAGACGAAGAAACTATAGAACAGCAGAATTTTACGTTGTAAAGTATGTTAGTAAAAACCACTCAACGCCTTGTTATAGACTGTGGGATGGCAAATTCATGTCATCAAATCTATAGATAACCGCTTCGTACAGATTATATGCATAATAGGCAGTTGACTTCACTCAATTCCCATCACCCTGTGTTCAGAACTCGCATTTTGTCTGTTTGACCTATTTTGCCAACTGCTGTGAAATTCAGAGGTTTGTGAGCTTTCTTTCTGCAGAAAGCTCATGTTTAGGAGGACGTTTACTGATTTCGTAAGTTCTGATCAGTGGAAAAGTCTCAGGCAGGCACGTGGTATGAAATTCAGTTTCCGAAAAACACTAAATTGAGCTGCGTAGTGTCAGGGACACATTGAACAACACTATCCCATCTACAATCTGTGGCAGGAGGCTTGTGCAACTGCAGAGTGTTTCGAGTTTGTCTTGGACCCCAGTCTTTACCTTTTTTTCCACAGGAGCTATGATGGCCCTTTGCATTGGTTTATAACACCAACACAGTGCTGTAGCTTCAGCGGGCTCAAGCCTGGCAGAGAGTGGTCCGAGACTAAATGAAGTTTCGGCCCTTCTGCGGTGGTTGTCTGAGCACTAGTTTTCACAGAGGGTGCTCTGGGAAAGGGGGCTTGCAAGGAAGCTGTGTGGGTCTCCGCTATTTATTTGTGCTCCAAATCAATTCCAGCGAACTTTATGAAACCATGTTAAGACAGTGGAAAAAAACGAGTGAAAAGCCTTTCTCTTTTGCAAAGATTACGACATGCAACACTGGCACTCAGAAGCAGACCTTTGCTTTTACTTGATGCTTTGTGTTTTAAAGCTTAAGCTGTGGTTTTTAAAAAAACAAAACACAAATGCAGGTCCTCAATAGATACTGATTTCAGAGCAGCAGACCCGATTAACCCGTTTCAAGATATTTATTATTTCTATATTCATAACCCCTCTATTTGTACATAACACCCTGCATCTTATAATATACACCTTAATAAGCATCTTAATAACCACCTTCTCGGAAATCAGATAGTGCCCCAAGCATAAACATAGAAGAGATTAAGGTCATTTTTACTAATAATAATGAATACCTTTGCTGGAGATGGACAATGCCAATACTGTCTGCGACTGAAGCTATGAACTGTACAGATTATTGCTTCTGTGTATGTAGTTACATTTCATTGGAGCACACTCTTTTCCACAGGCACTGAAATGTCTAAATTGGGATGTTTTTAAACAACAACCGTAAAACTCATTTTCATATCTTGCTGTTTCATCGAGGTTTGGTTTGATGTATTGTACTGCTTGTTTTTATCTTGAGCAGTGTTTATTTGCAGCTGTGTTACACTTCTGTCGGTTTGTTGTTTCTTTTCTATCTGGGTGTTTTGAGATGTTCTGCATGTAGATAGTAGAACAAAATGAAGATTACTAACATTATACATTCAGATATATATGGGATGTAAGGCATCACTGTAGCTACAAAAGGTAAAACAATATATACAGTATATATGATTAAATAATGAATGTTTTCTGGGTTTTTTGGGGGAAACAGAAAGTGTAGAGAGTATTTATTTACTAATATTGGAACATTTCCCAAGTCTTCTGGAAGTGTGTTGATACATACAGTACGCTTAGTTCAGGGAACGGAGTGGCCATGTCTGGCAGGTACAGTAACACAGTAGTAGTTACCTTCCAAGCTCAGGTTAGCAGTGACAGCTCTTGGTCCTCAGAGATTTTTGTGATAGAGGGAGATGTCTGTTGCAGCCGTTCAGGGATTTGATAACAGTGTTGGAAAGCACTGGTTTCCTACGTTACCAATGCAGGACGTACTGATCATTCCAGGTTTTCCAAATGTCAGGCTCTGGAGGGGCCCTCACCTGTGTGCAATGGGGTCAGATCTCTGTGCTTCATTGAGGGTGTTGCTTGATCTGTGTAGTATTGGGGAGCTGTGTTCGATGTAGGCCATGGGTACGGCCTCGTATGTAACTGAAAGCCTTGTTTGATTTAATGTAGGTCAAGATTTTGGTGTTGGGAGAGTTGGGCAGAAAACTGTCGCTCCGGATGTTGTGTGTTTTGAGTAGTTTAATGTTACGTACTGTATGCCTCACTAGCACAAACAGTCCGAGCAGACAGGGGTGTTGAGCGTCTTTACAGAGGGATGCTCAGCTTGAGGAACAAAGCCTGTATTTGCCTGTTCATTGTGCTCTGGAACTAGTGGTGCTGAGGTGATGCAATGTGCCAGGAAGTGATGTCAAATGGTCTCCTTTGTTATCTTGCGGGCATCAATAAACACTTATAGAGGGTTCTTAAAGGAAGCAGCACTTGAGCACTGCAGTCTCCCAGTCTCCGGGCGCAGGCTTCTAATGTGCAGGGCGGCTGACAGAAGTCCCCAAGCTTCGGATCGCTCTATCAGATAAAGCTCTCCAGTTGCACAACACCTCACCTCCGCGCTCCTCGCTCCATCCCTTTTCAACCACATGAGAGCTGACACAGGAAGCATTGCCTCTTTTCTGTTCTTTATACTCAGCAACTGTGGTTTCATCTAAATTGACCTTCCCAATCCCCCCCCTACCCCACGCCCTTCGCCACCTCATCATCCGTTGCTCATTTTCATTAGGCTCGCTGTGTTCGGTAAGAACGCAGAGAATGCAGACACTTCCTTTTTCAGTGGGTTTGTCATGCTTCACTCAAGGGGAAAAAGAACCTGCATGTCTTCTCCAGTCCTCCCCCCAAGATCAATCAGTCAGTTTTTCTTTTACTTGATGCAGCAATCTACCATGGTAAACACCTTCCAAACAGATTCCCAAACTCTTGACCTGGAGGACACAGGAAGCTCAAGGAAGTCTTCATTGCAAGTATTACAACAAAATTCAGTATGTGACTGTTTTTCTCGGGAGGAGAGGGTCACACGATCAGAGCTGCCTCACTCACAACAGTGCCAGCTGCCTCCACACAGCCTGCAAGGCAGATTGACAGTGAGGTCGCGTCGCGCGGAGAGTCTGGTGTAAAAGAGAAGAGTGTACTGAAGAAAAGCAGAAACAATTGCAGAAAGGAGCTATACATAAAAGGAGTTATATATAAAAGGTTATACATAATAACTAAAAGAAGTACTGTCTGAGATTGACTTTAATAACGTCTTATTTGCGCATTTAAAAGAGTTAATTCCTTATGGCATCTTTTGAACGCTTGCAAAGTCCAGGATGTTGCTCACTCCACCATCCCTGTGGGAGTATATTCCGCACAGCGGCGTGCTGGGAGAACGCTGGTCAGGATGCAGGTCTGGTTTTTGGTTGGTTTTTATTTTTAAACGTAAAAAATAAGGTTAAAGTAAATAAGAATTCTTGTGTGGAGAGACCTGCACATACTGCGGCTATGGTCTGCTTGTGGTTTCCTTCTCCAGTAATTTGCTAATCAAAGAAGGCTTATTTAAAGTTTTCTGTTTTGTTTTACTTTCATTTATCTTGTACCTTATGACATCTAAGTCCAGTTCCAGTCTGGGTTAGAGAAGTTAGAGAAGAGGGACAGAATGTTCAGTAACATGGCTCTGTCACTGTGGAGGAAGGCTGGAAACCTGAGGAATAACTGGCTTTATTTTTTCGCTGGGGTGGGGCAGAGGGGCATCTCTAGAGTCCTTTTCACTTCGCAAGCAGGATAGACGAGGCAGCTGGGGACCGGAAGGAGGGTTTGCACATTGGGGTCAGTAGATCGGTGTATCGGCATGGCCTGTTTCGTTCACAGCTGTGTGCTTGACTAGAGGTTATGGAGAGGCCCAGGGGCCTTGGAGCACAGGCAGGATGAGAGGGACACAGCAGTGTGGGAGAGGCAGCACTGCCTTGCAGACCTTGTGACCGATGCAGACCTGCATGCAGAAGCTTGATTTTTAGACCAGAAGTGAGGAAGTGCAGGTGTACACAGAGCAGGAAAGTTTTCAAAATGAAGAATATTGGGAGTATTTATTTTTCAGTACTGGGGTCCGGTGTTGTTGAAATATTTACTGAGCTGGACACAGATCTTGTTCCCCAGATCTGGCCTTTTGTACAGTTCGCTGTGTTCTGCAGTTTCATTTCGACATGCATTCATCTTATTTTTCCACAGTTTGCTCCTCTCTTAAGCTTAAGCACACAAGGCTCTTTTGTGTGTTACTACTCTTCTCTCTTTTCTTTTCTGTATGGTACACCACAGTAGAATTTGTATTAGGTGTCAGTGGGGCTGCTATAAGTGCTGCCAGGCAGGGTGTCAGCCTGCTGCCTCTGCACACAACCATCCAGAGCCTGTCTTGCTCTGCGAGTTCCTCCTCTGCAGACACAGCAGGCTCAGCACTGGCTGGGTCCCCCATCAGAGGCTCCAGGTACCACAGGATGTCTCTCTCTCTCTGTCTCTCTTGCTCTCACTGTCTCTCTCGCTCACTCTCTGCTTCCACGCTGGCCACAACTGTGCCTCTCACCCACTGGCAAAATTCGGAGTTACGTCAGTTGTCGCCGATCAACTTCCTCCTAGCTACAGAAACAAGCAGTTTTTTTTTTCTAGCACACTTATCGTGGAGCCGTTAATCCTAAAAAAAAAGGAAAAGCAAAGAGAAATCCGGTTGCATTTCTGCAGCCTTGAGAAGTGGTCAGATTAATGACATATTCGCCAAATATCTCAGCAGAAGTAACTGACATCCAGATTGTCTGAAACAGAGTCTGAAGACACCAAGGCTCCCAGAACACAGATGGGAACAGAGAGAGCTCTAGTACTGGACCGACTGGCGAGCAACGTGGCCAAGAGGAAGAGCTCCATGCCTCAGAAGTTCATCGGTAAGTTTTTTATGGCTCTTTGTCTGTTTTAGTGTCGTTAGCTTTCCGGATTCGGAGGAGGAGGAGGAGGAGCAGTGGAAGGTGGTGAGGGGGGTTAACGATGGCGACCACCTTTGCCAGGAGTGAAGAGGCGGCCCGCGGCTCGGCCCGTTTGCCCCGCCGAAACTGCCGGGCTCCAGCCCGCCGCCGGCTTCTGCAGAGCTGATGTTTCCATTCTCGAATAAATAAGAACTGTGGCGGCCGAACGTGCTGATCAAAGCCCTCGAGCCTCAGCGCAGGCACTTGCTGTCACGGCTGGCTTTCACTTGCTTTGTCATTCTTTGTGGTAACGCTTTACCATATAAAGCAGGCACCTACTTAGGGTTGTTGAGAAAAGCTTGTGATTCTGAAAAAAATACACGAAGAAACTCAGAAATGATTAAGGCGCTATGTAAAGCACAGGTACTGGAATTTCTTTTTTCGCTGTTATCTTTTGAAGGCTTCTGCAAGTTATTTAACGCTGCAAAGTGATGCTTTTAATTCCTTTTGCTTTCACTGTGTGTCATGTCATGCTGCTTGCCTTGTTTGGAATTGAGTCAAAGGGGTAAATGACGATATGTTGTTTTTTTGGCTAGAATTTAGATTGCAGGTTTTATTATTGATTCAGTGTTCGCTTTCATCTCGCTTGCTGGAAGTATGTGCCGGGACTGTGCCCTGCCTCCCAGCTGTAACTGCACTCTGTAGACACGATGGCTTGAAAATGGCAAGACAGCTTTCTGTCAGGGACAGATCCTGCCTTTCTAAAACTCTTGTGTTACTTTCAAAGTGGTGTTAATAATTTTCAACTATTAACTAGTTCATGTGAAAATAAAAACTTAGTTAATAGGCTGGGATTTCTTCCATGTAGCTTTTGTAAAAAGTAACAGGTATGAAGTGCGTCGGTGTGATTTGTAACAAATAGTTAAGCTTTGATTTTATTCCATTTAATGTTTAGAATATTTAATTCTTGCTTAGTTTAGATTTTGCATTTGAAGACTGGATGGTTAAATATTTAATTAAAATGGAATGGAACACTAGAATCTTTGGCAGACATTTGTCAGCGAATATGTCTGGAGTTATTTTCTTAGAGCTGTTTTAGTGGAGGGTGCACAGTGAAATGGGGCTTTCCTGCTCTCAGATGATGGACCGGCTAGCTAGTTCTTCGCCAGAGGTGAACATCAGGCGTTTGACCCCCGTAGGGTGAAGGAGGGAGAAAAGAGCAGGCTTAGTGTGAAAGGGAAATTTGAAAATGGGCAGAACAACCACGCAAATGTGTGAGCACGTGTGGGGCAGGGGATTTTCACTCTGACATCATGTGAGGTGCTGATAGAGCGTCTCGCCAGGGATCATCACGGGAGAGATGGGTTTTATCCCAGTGTTTGCATTGATCAATCTCAAAACGTTTTTCTTTTTTTTTTTGCTGGGTGTTGATCGTGATGGTTCTGCTTTTATTCCACTCTATTCTATTTGTCATTTTGCAGTAAGCAGTATTTTTTTTTGCCGTAGTGCAGAATTGGAAGCGAAATCTCAAATCGATATTAAGTGAAAAGAAACATGTTGGATGAGGAGGTCTCCCTTCCACACCTGCAGTCGGCACCTTGCTTTCAGCGAGTCCAGAGCTGACTCGTGCCCCGGAGTTCGAACGTTGTACTTCACCTTGGCCTGTGCAGAGCCACTCTGTCCCAGGCCTGTGGGAAGGCTGAGCCCAGTGTTCAGGTCCTTCACAGCCCCCGGGGAGCACATGAGATCACACGCCGGGCACACTGTGTCTTCATGGGCTGACTGCTGCCATCGCTCAGTGCAGTTAACAGAACATGGGGAATTTCCATTGTAAAAAAATAACCACTGTGGTCTGATCACTTACCTGGGTCTATCTAATCATTTTACAGATATGTGACACTTATTATAATATTTCTAAAAGATAGATTTTGGCTTCTCTAGTTTTGGTTTGTGTTTGAAAGATAGTTTTTAAACTGCTGTTCAGAATATCACTCTTTTGTTTCCCTGGAGAACTGTAACTCTGTGCCCTATTCTCCTGGTTGGCCTTGTGAGGTGGCTTTCTCTGTTGAATACCTGCGTGCTCACGTACTGTATATTTCTTCGGAGCAACAGGAGGCTTTCTGAACAGTGACAGCTATTTTATGACAGTACCAGCTGAGATTATTCATAAACACAATGTTCATGTAATTCCTCTGGCTCGAGGATTTTCTGTGCATGTATATGCTCCGAAAAGCAACAAGATTTGATTTAAAAGGATGTCGTGCTTTTCTCATGATCTTTACACCGGCTCCTACACCTCAGTGATTCATTTCTTTGCTCCTGGCAGCGGCAGCTCACTCTTGATTTTACAGAAGTACCCCCCCCAGCCCCGGGCCCAATCGGCTCATGCCGTGGTGCTCTCGGTGCCCCGGCGCCGGGCCGCGCTGTGGGGACCTGGTGACTGTTGCCACACACCAGCCCGAGCTCCACGAGAGGAAAAGAGCGAGGTGGCAGTTTCTCTTTCTCGCTGGGAGAGAGCACGGGCCTGAACCGATGGTTCTGCTAAACACATTGCTTGCCTTTTTATTAAACTGTCTCTTGTTCTCAGTCTGGTAACAGTCTGAGCGGCGCGTTCGCACCCCTTGAGCCCCTCCGTTCACCCATCCTCCTCTCACGTTTTAAACGTCTGCAAGGACCCAAGGGACAGCTGGCTAGAACGGCAGCGATTAATGACTCGTTTTGAACGCGCTTTTAAACGGATCGTCGACGTGTTTTTTTAGAAAACGCAAAAGAGCTTCCCAGGGTTTCAAAACCAGCGAGGAGGCCTCAAGTAGCAATGAAAGCAGTGAAGTGGGTGCACGTCATGTGATTGTGCTTCTGTGTACGTGTGAGTTAACTGGCGTACATGCCTGCAACACACATGTGCAGTGCATTTGTTTGATGTATTCAGGGCTATTTTCACTCATGTGGGATTATTTCTTGACATGGCCATGTGACCTTTCATCTGTGTGTAAGCGAGTAGCGATGCGCCTCATCAGTTCGGACACTCAGGGCCCCATCATCCCTGTATCTGTCAGCAGCTCCCTACAGGACAGCAATTCCTAAAAACAATTTTAGGAATCCTATTGCGGGACTGAGTTCCACTTTTTCATATATGATAAAGAGAAAATGTGTTTTCCCTTCTGTTCTATTATAATAGAACCTGCCTGTACGGGTGACAGTCACACAGAATTGTAAATAAGTTTTTTTTTTGAAGTCCCAATTTTTTGTAATATTAAGTAGCAAATATACTGTTGAATTATTTTCAATGCCGTTTTAAAATAAAAGCATGTTTTTATTTATTCCAAAATTGTACCAGACAGTTGAGTTAGCACTGTTTCTCATGTCATCCTTAGTTATTTCAGAAAATGTTTGATCTCTTCAGCCTTGCAGGATGTAAAAGCCTGGCACCAAGGAATATGGTTGTATCTTCTTTGTTATGATGGGACTTGTAGAATTTGATACTCAAGACATGAGCTTTGAGCAAAAAATTGATTTTCTTGTTTTTGCTGTTGAACCTTGTTTCCTAGTCAGTTGTTTCTGCCAGCCTGAAATTGTTTTTTTTTTTAATATCTAAATTGCTTTCCTTTGCAGAGAAAGGACAGTTTTTCATAATCACTCCATGATGTTAATTAACATTTTATAGTGTTTTCCACTTTGTTTCACAGATTAATACAGTACCCACTGCTGCCAGGTATTGACTGGTGCACTAGGACATTGTGCTTTGAGTGTTAAATTGGGGGTAAATTGTGTCCTGGTGTTTTGTGCTGCCGATATGGATCCTGGGTTCAGTTCCAGGCTGGGGCACCTTGGCTTGGTTCACAAGGGCTTAGTGTGAGTGATCTGGTTCTCTCCCGCTGTCCACATAGATCCAGGCTGGGTTGAGTCTGTCCAGGTGTACCTGTGTGTGTACAGTACAGTGTGTTGCAATGGTATTGTTCTTGGCCTGCCATTTTCCTCACCAGTTGGCGACAGATGGCTGCAGTTTGTGCCCTAAAGAAGCAGCACGACCGCTTTCTCTGTTTTGAGTACTTTTGCTGTTAAATCTATAAAAATCCCAGCTCACCTATTGTTTGACAATCCATTGTCAGGCCATACACTTCATGTATGATGAAGTCAGGGCTTTTTAACTTTTGTCCTTTAAGAATTCATCGTAGTGATTGAAGAATGGTTTTGAGAGAAGCATCAGCATTCTAAGCAGGGTTCAGTGTTGTGCTGCTGCAGATTAGAACTGACAATATCAAATTATAAAGTAAGACATCAGTCACTCACATTTTACGACCGTGTGCACTTGGAGTTAATTGACACGTTTTCTGGTGTGTAAAGATAAAACATTCAGATACTGTACAGCAAATGTGTGAAACATAAAAAATACTGGAAGTTTGATCATGAGTGTGATTTATCAGTTTCTCTGCTAAATGTTTTTGATTTGTATTTTAGGTTGTGTGAAAACATGAGTCATAACCACTTTTTTTGCAAAACTATGTAGTTGTTGTAGGAGTTAGTGAAGTACATTTTTAATAACTTTTATGATGAGAAAATATGAGAATCTGTGAGAAACAGGTTTGCCTCTTAGAGAAAAAAGTGAAGAAGCCACTTTCATATAAGTGTGGGCTGTTTCTTTTTAGTTTGTGTTAGCTGCCTTGGGAGTATATAAAAAAAATGAGATATATAAAGATTTTAGACATTTTTCATTTTTATTATTTTTATTATTTCATTTTATTATTTTTAATTTTATTATATTAAATTCAGCAAACAAAACAAAATTATTTATCCGTTAAGGAAAAACCTACAAACCTGTAGTTAAAAAACAGTACAATAGTTTACTTGTAGCTTAAAAAATTAACAATCTTTTTTAAATCTTAGAGAATTCCTTCCAAAGGTTACAATATATTTTAAACATTTGAACACAAATATGTCTTACTTTTGTTCATAAATGCCCTTTTGTTGATCTTGTAAGAACAGTTACACTTGGGTGTATATCAAAATAGCTACACAGCTTTTGAAATATTAATGAATTTGTGAAATTATAATATAACTCAATTGCATCTATCTAGTAGACACGTGGTTTAGGCAGTTTTGAACATATATTGTGGCACTGGCTATAGTCATGTTTCATTTAAGTAAATATCTGTCCTGGAGGTGTGGTGTCTCTTTTCAGTTGACTAGTGCAATACAACATGAGCAGAAACTGTGATCTCTGCATAAATACTGATTTCTTCCTCCCCTCTGGGGAGTAAAGAGATGTCTCTCTCAGCCCTTAGATTAATTCCATGTGCTCTTCAGCCAGACCGTGGTCCATATTAGTAACTAGTTCGAACTTGTTTTGGAAAAAAAATTAGAACACCATCGAAACCTTGTACAGTAAATGTGTCATAAATAACTTTACAGGCACCTCTGTATGCAGTTTAAAGTACTTGAATAGGTGCCACTGCTGGCAGGGCGCTGTGCCTCTGTGTTCCGGCTGATTCCTCCCTCTGGTGCAGGAACCTGACTTGTAGGAAGCTGAATCCTGTAGCAGATGAATCAGGTTATATCTGGTAACAAATGGGTGACACGATATTGTATTCACTTGCAATACAAAACATAAAGCTTTTCATAGTGCATCGCTGGACACTGTTTATCTTAAATGCAATGCCATAGTTGATGTTGAGTTTTTAAAATAAAAATACTGCAATGTGCATGGAAGCTCTGAAAGTCAGAGTCTGTACTTTAAACGTGTTCATTGCACTCAACCCTCAGGCATTTCTGCAAAGTGGAAGCTGGGATGAAACCGCTGCATTTTTTTCTTATTAAAGTGTGCAAACAAGCCTTTCACACCACAGGCTCTGACTCTATGCTCACTTCAGATAAGTTTGAGAAAACACAAGAACAATTTGTTCCATCTCTCTGTTTTAAACCACTATCAAGGGTGTTATTTCCAATAGTACTGTACAGCCCCAAAAATAACTTCAAATAGCTGCTCTGGCAAAAGGTGAGAATTTGCTTGTCAACTCAGTGCTTCAGCCAAGCACAAGCAATGAAGGTGTGTGACTTTCAGCAGTCAAGCCAGCTACCTGCTCCTCGTACCCCTGCTGAGCTGGGCACCTCTTTGTCATTTTATTCTGCCTTGCAGACATTTAATATTTGAAAAATAAATAAAACCTAAATAATGTGACCTGCTCTCTCAGGGTTTAATACTCTTTTTTTTTTAAAAAAGAAGTGTTAAAAAGAGCTTTTTTGAAGCCACAACCAACATTTTAAACTTTAGTTCATCCCAAAGGTAGAGTCAGGTTAATTGGGAGAGAAAAGGTCCTAGGATTGAAGACCATAAAGTTGGAGAATTCACCTCACTTCTTGAGAAGCGTGGTGTGAGGAAAACTGGCCACAAGCAGACTTGTGATGGGTTCAGCTGTTGGTAGAGAGAGGCAAGAGACTTGGTGAAGTCTGCACAGTGTTTCATTCATGTATCGCTCCAGAAACCAGAACACACTCTGATCTACTTGCCGCCTAGGCTTGCAAAGGGCTTCTACGATGTTATAGGTCTGAAAATGGATTACGCCACTACTGTATAGCCGCTGTTAACGGAGAACTCGCGTTCGTCTGTCTTCAGCTCTTGAGCTGAGTCTGCACCTCGCAGTTCTGCTCTTTGCACAGTGTCAAAGCTTGAAAGCAAATGGTGAGAAGGAGGGGGGGCTTGATTAGTACTGTAGTAAACCCACAGTGTTAGCAACACATTTCATTGTCAATTTTTTTTTTCTTCTAGTCCCTTTGTCAGTTCCACTAAGCCGAATTGAGTTAAAAGGTTGAAGGAATGTAAGTATGACTGGCTTTTTGAACTGCCAGAACATGAAGTGCCGTTTTCCAAAGCCAGTGACTTACCTTTATAAGAATGTGACCATGGTAGATTTGGTGTCTACAGTGTTGTACTGTGCATGTGCAGTGTATTTTATTTCATTGAGATTGGGCTCAGGGTTTATTTGATCACCCATCCTAGTGTTTGCACTGCTTGCAAAGCAGCAACTTGTGTTACCTTCACGTTGGAAAAGGGCAGTGTTTTTTTGTCTCATTACTCTGCAACATCCAGCAGTTTTGCTGCTGAATGTATCAGGGTTTCTCTTCATTTTTTTCCTGCCAATCTTTGCAAGCCTGTACGTTTGAGATTGTCAGGAAGTGTTTGCCCGTGCCTGTGCTGGTGCAGTGGAAACTGTTGGTTGGCTGGTTTCTTACACATGCTGGATTGTCAGAAGTGGAGCTGATGGCCCCGGCTGCAGTATGTAACCAGCTTGACTTTTCAGGCGAGGCATGCATTAAGTAAAGAGCCTTTCAAGTGGTGGGGCCTGTGGTCTGATCGATGAGCGTGTCCCTGCCTACTCTGAGCTCTGGGGTGCACTGCATGCTGCAGCAGTGCACGCGACTCAACAATGACCCCCTTAATACAGCGAGCTAATAATAGAGCTGGGAGAGAGAGGCGCAGGGCCTGGCTTGGTGGCCTGTAGGTCAGAATTCGATTTCACTGTAAAGAGCAGAGGGTGGGAATCACAACGTCGGGAGGAGAGACTGGGGCAAAAGGGGTGCTAGTCCCTCAGGGGAACTTTGTGCAGAAAAGGAGAAGCCATCTTCACTTAAGAAGGGAATTTGGCAATAATGTGGTCATTTGTGGGTTGCGATGCACATCCCCTTAATACACAGTATTTTTTAACTGAGCAGCAACCTGTACAAGAGAGACACTTCTTGACATGCGCACATGCATGTCCATTGATGAGCATCCTTTTCCCGATTTTCCTCGATGAAGACCTAATTTTCTTTGGCAGATTCTCCACAAAGACGGGTGAGATCCCGGGGCCAATCCTGGAGTAAAATAATTACTTGAAATATCTCAGCTGCCACTTGCTAGTCGGTATTTATTGTGCCTTCTTTGAGATCAACCTTATTATTTCAGACACCAGGTCCATACTTGCATCCTTGAGTGTGTATATAGCAACTGTATATGTATGTGCATACACATGGAAACTGTTCTTTTGCATGAAGGCTCAAGATCATCTGATGTGTGGACTACTGTGTAGTTAAGCAGGGGAAAAGCTCTATCTTTGTGTACAATGGCAAGCTGACATACAATCTGTATATAACCACTGTGGGATCCTATGGGCTGGAAACACAGTGTCTGAGATGCTCGATGGATTCTGAAGCAATATGGTGTGGCTTCTCAGCTGCGCTGGGAAGCTCCTTTTAGGACCGGACAGACTGTTGATCTATCCTCCAACGCCTGCAAAGTCAAAAGTTTTCAGTACGTCTTTCTAGGTTTGTGGAGGGCTTGTAGGGAGAAGAATGTACTCTTGATTTCCCGGTCCTGCCCTGCACGCGAGAGAGATTTCCTAAATGACCTGCATCACTGGTTCTTCCACATTTGTTCCTCTTGCACAAAACTACTGCAGTGTGTTTTGCACCGTGCTTTGCAAAGCAGCTTATCATGTACCAAATAAACTGAAATCTTCCAATATGGTAACCACAACACTTAAAAAAGGTAATATTTTCAACCACAGCCCTCGTAAGAAAACAAAAGGGAGTAAAGCAAACGTGAGCAGGTGCTGCTCTCTTGAGCTTGTGGTGAAACTGCTGCCAAGGACTCTCGGGCCTCCTCTCCATGACTCATGCTCTGTAGCAAGAAAGCTGACGGATTTTTAGTAATATCTGTTACGGTAAGAACCTGCACGTGCCTTCCAGCTCTCGACGGGAGGCCTCATGTTTCCAGTCCGCGTGTGTTACGTTCTCTTCCCCGCTTATGGAAAAACAACGCTGCTTTGCACCTGGCTTGCTTCTTCGCGCCCAACTTTGCCGTGCTCTCTCCAGGACGCTTTCTCCAGGACGCTTTCTGCCGCAAGCTTTAGGACGCTCCTTGGGAATCGGGGGTCAAGCCTCCCCTGTGTGGACAGCAAGTTAATTTTTTCTTTTTTTTTTTGTCCTCCAAATTTTGTGTATGTTGTGTGCCACTGCCCAGGTGACAAACGGCTCTGCCTAGACATCAGCTACAGCAGCAATATGATGTTTAGCAAGGACAGCGAGCTCATCGCAAGAGGCATGATGGAGCCGCCGATGGGGTACTTGGGTGCGGACGGCATGCACCCCCTAATCCAGACACCCTCCTCCGGGCCACCCCCTCCAGACATGGTCCAGGTCATCAGCAGTGCCTTCCCCATCCCTCTGACCCGCGCGGAAATGGCCAACGGCCACGAGTCAGAGAGCGGGGGCCACCAGCCTCACCCCCGAATCAAACGGCAGCCGTCCAACCACGGCCCCTCGCCCAGCCACAGCGGGCAGGAGTCCCCAGACGCCGACAGCAACCACCCGGACGAGCGGAGCGGGCACGGGCCCCCGCTGTACAACCTGGGCCACCTGCTGATCCCCCGGCCACGCAACGGGCTGCACGCCCCCGCGCCGCACCCCCACCCGCCCCACAGCCTGAAGGACCTGGGGCCCCGGCCATACGAGGCCCTGAAGCCGCCGGCCGGCCTGTCGCTCCAGGAGGTGGTGAGGGTGGTGAACGCGGAGGGCGAGGCGGTGGGCGCGTACCGCTGCGACCACTGCCGGGTGCTCTTCCTGGACTACGTCATGTTCACCATCCACATGGGCTGCCATGGCTTCCGGGACCCCTTCGAGTGCAACGTGTGCGGCTACCGCAGCCAGGACCGCTACGAGTTCTCCTCGCACATCGCCCGAGGCGAGCACCGCCTCCTGCTCAAATAGTGCAGCCCGGCAGCGTTGGCAGAGATGTGCTTGTCCATACAGCTATATAGATACTTTTTGAGTGCCTTACATATACGGTATACATATACACGCGTTTACTGGAGGTTGGAAGTGCTACAGGAGGTAGCGTAGCATTAAACAACTGATCTGCTACTTGGCCACGGTTGTGCATCGCTCTCTACGTGTCGGGGACGCACAGGAACTCTCAGGTTTTAGGCACTGAGCCGGCGACGCGGGACATCGCCCAGCGCCCTGCCTGTGTGTGAAGACACCTTGAGCAAGGTGAAAGGTCGGGACTGCTGTCACTGCTGCCAAGCACTGCAGAAGCTTCCAAGAGCTGTGTTTGTTTTTTTTAAATATGCCTATATGTATATGGAGTGTGTTTTTTATCTTTGTATAATCCTGTGTCTGTGTTGACGGCCCATGTTCAATCTATTTCAGATGATGATTTCCTCTGATTTCGTTGTTTCTCTTGCATTTGCAGTATTCCAGGGCGCTCTGTAGTGCCTTTGCTGTTTTGGGGGTACACTGATAGTTCCCACTTACTAGATATCTTAACTCAGGACTGAGGTCTCCCCGGTATTTTCATTTTCTAGATAAAGCCCCTTGATATACCAGGGGGGAGTACTTGGTATATTGACCTTCTGGGAGTTGGGTTCTGAGTAAGAACCCCATTTCAATTTGATACTGTATTTCACCAAAGTTAGTGAAAAGATATTCCACTAGCACACCAGACACTGGGATAGAACTGGGTGTATACTTTCATACCTCTGTAGAAGAAGATGAAGGGATACAAGCGTAGACCGTCAATCTCCCAGCCACTATTATATTACTCTGTATTACTCTTGCTTTTTACTGCACTATTTCCAGAATGCTGGGCATTTATTTATCTTGCGTTCAAAAATGTACACTGGAGGAGTGCATTAAATAGGCACTTGTTTGTATAAATTCATTTTTTGTGTGTATATATACCCAGCAGCTGTCACTGCCCTGCACATTTATTACAAATAAAATATGCTTTCTGCGGCTAGAAAATGCTTTAAAAGAAAAGGTGATAGAAATATCTGAGCAACACATGTGAGGCGATCTGAGGAGTGTCCCAGCCTAAAAAAGTTTGGAGTAAGGGGAGGAGAAAAAATCGCAAAATAAAAATAAAACACAGTCCCATTCAGAGAGGGACTGGAGTGGAGTGGGACTCTGTGTTGTTGCTCTCTATGGGTTCTACTCCAAGCCTCATTTACATTGTTTGTAATTTTTTTTAATGTGTTGAAACAAGTGTAATATCTTCCATGAACACAGCTGTGTTAATGAGAATGGCCTTCTCTCGCTTGTAACCTTAATGTCTCAATGCTCCTCTCACTGGGATGGTTTCTGTTTTTGTCTTCTGTTTTGGTTTTCTGTGCAGTTTAAAGTTGATTTATTTTTTTTATTTTAAAGCCTCAGTCAAAGACATGCAGATCAAGTTCTAGTGTTATCCACACATGCCCTTAAGAAAGCTCTGTTGATAATTTCTAGAGAACACTTGTGCAATAAACAAAATCCACAGCAAAAACCCTATCTTCATCTGACATGTTTTTATTCCTCTGCATTTTCACCTGTTAAACAAACGTGTTGTGCATATTTACTAGAAGATTGTCTTACAGACAGATTTTGCTGTAATTGTCATAAAGTTCCTGACTCTCGGAACAATGCCTTACTGTCAGGGCTCATGCACCTTGGAGCAGACAGTAGCTGCTGGTTTTTAAATTCCTTAGCAAAGAGTAAGGATGTTCTGTTTCCTGCAAAAACACACTGACTCCGTTGGTGCAAAATACATTTTTTATTTTGTGCGTTGAGATTCATCAGTCCTGTTTTGGGTTTTCTGAACTGCTTTAAGATTGCAGTCATGTGAGGCGCTATATGAACTGAAACGGCAGCTGTCCTGTTTCCTAAATTGAGGTTGTGAAAATGTTTGACACTTATTTAGTTTTGTGGTACTGCAGTATAACTACCACTGGAAGTGTGATCATACAATACTGCCACACAAAATCGTTCTTGTTTTAAGTTACATAATGTGAGGCTATTACTTGCCCACCTACCAGCTATCATGCTGACTCACAGAAGGGTCTGACAGAGCTGTGTGGGCTATAGTAGTCTCCTTTGTGTGCACACACAGGATCCACCCTGTACTGCTCCTTACTGGACTGCAGTTTACTAATAAATGGACACAGTGGAGACATCCCACTCTGTTTTAGTCTGGTGTTTTGCCTTATCAAAGAAAGTGCGACACGGGGAGTCCTGACATGACCCTAAGGAAAGACCCTTTACCCTGATCGAGTGACTCTGGTGCGGTGTTGTATGGAGTTCATCTTGAAAGTTAGAGAGGAGGAGAAGTTCCAATTCCACCATCCGCCAGATCTGAATTCAGAACTCTAGACCACTGCTTTCCAGTGGTGATCGCACTGCCCCCCAGCTCCACAACGAGCACAGCAGCCTCTTGGCTTAAAGTGGGGGAGGGGGAATTATAGGGTGTTCCGACTTACTTGTCCATACTGGATGTCTCTCTAGAAACAAAGATGGTCAAAGCCAAAATATTGGTAGAGTCTCTTTCTACTATTGACGTATCTAACCCTGTCTAACCTTATGAAAATCAACTGTCTTCTGAAGTCATGGGTTCCTGTTGCTTCAACATGCCTTCACTGGGCTTTATAACAAGATCATACATTTTTCTAAGTGAATTTTACCATGGTGCACTGGTATTCCTATGGCCCAGTATGGTAAAGCACAGTGAGAGCAGGCTCAGTCTTTAGTAAACCATAGTACACCGTACAGAAGTACTATGATAAATTCACCATGGGGACCTTTCATCAGGGCAGAAACACTGCTGGGGCTTCTTCGGCCCTGAGATGAGACAGCTGTGCCTCTGCTTGTCTTCATTCCCACAGTGACACAAGCAGCCGAAAAGCCCTGCAACAGATAAACACAGTTAAACCTGAAAGACCGTGCTCAGTAAAACAACATTCAAATGTGTTAGACAATTTCTCATCGCTGCAGATTTTAGAAGCAGAACTCTGGAAGACCGAGGGTAATGGGGAACATTTTGCTTTCGAGCTGCTCAGTTCAAACTCAAGCCGGCAAATCTCGGTATCTGCACTTTTCCTATCAAGTGCTTATTATAAAACGGAATTCTACATTCCATTGTAAACCTTCATTTGTTCTGTGAATGGAGTAACGAAAACATCCCTTTGTATGAATGTCCTCTGACATGTACGTAAACTGTTTTTTTACATTAACATTAAGGCAATAAAAAAAGAGATTAAAAGTATTTACTGGATTTATTTGTAGTGTGACTGACAACTGTTTTCTGACTGTTGAAAGGCTGAAAAGCTTCTTGTAAGAGTGAGTTTAGAAATGTGACCACACTGCAGATGAAAAAACAAAAAGACAGATTAAAAGGATCGACAAGTGTTGCAAATTAATCTCTCAGCGTGAGGCAGAAAATAATAACAGTCATCAAGAAGTTATTTTAAAGGATTGATGTGTAGAAAAACCACATGCTTTCTTTAGGGCTTTCTGACAAGCAGAGCCCTGCTGCTCTGTCGTAGACCAAGATGAGTTTAGTCGGAATTGGCCTTAACTGCAGCAGAGGGGCACTTGACATTTGGATTTCCACCAACACCTGTGATCATATACAGCAGCTCCATTGACCATTTTAAACGACACCTCATGTTTTGTTGGTTTCTGACAATTTTCTCTTCAGTTGCTTATGAAAAAAATGTGGAATTGCCCATCACCTCTCTCTACATCTTCTCATGTTCATTTGTATATAGAAATGTTATATAGAGATGTGCTTTTCTGTTGAATTCAAAATGAGTCCTGTTCGTTCTTGCAACTGAGTTTCGCTTCTAATGCACTGCAGCTTCCCATCGATGTGTTAAAGGAGATATTGTAAATCGTTCTGTCCGCAGAAGGAAGAAAGACTGTTTTAGACCATTTTAGATAATGTAGCAAAATCTGTTTATGAGCTCTGAGTTAAGAACAGTCTGTTTTAGTGTTTGTGTTGCAGTTTCAAAGCGTGCACTGTAATTCTGTACAGAGGAACCAAATAAAATGTTTTATCGACTTCAAAAACCTCTCGCCTCATGTTCAGTCTTTCTGTTGTGGAAGAAGTACCATTTAAACATCCCATTTCGAACATGTGAAAAAGACACCTCTAAGATCTTAAAGGTCACTTTGCTGGGCATCATATTTAGTTTGTGGTTTTCAAGCAATTAACAGCCTCTACAGCTACACCTCTGTGCTATTTTCAGTGTTGCAAATTTCCTCCTTCCTTGTAGTCTTCAAAAAAAAAAATTGAACATCCATTTTCTTTTGCTGTTTAGTTTTCAACATTTCCGTATCGAAATGGGCGATTTGGTGTGTGAGAGACATGGACTCCCCACTCTGCATAGCCTCTGGCTCTGTAGTTAAACATCCGGTCAGTCTAGTGGTTGTTTTGCAACATTTGTACGTTCTATAATATTCAGGCATTGTTTTTTTGGGGGGGTAGACGTAGTTTACCTGTCCCCTAGTCTGCCTGAAAACACTCACTTGCAGTCCTGAAGATGAGGGACAATGCCTATGGTTTTTTTATTTTAATAAGTAAAATAGTGCAGCACACTGACATACAGCACAGCCAGAGTGTAATAGAAGGGGGTACACTGCCGAGGAGAGGTGTCAGAGTTCATAGATGATGGGGCATAGTGAGTCTTCATTTCTCTTAAAAGAAGTTTCCTTCAAAGATCTGTAGACATGTCAGTTAACATATTTTTACTATGTCATGGGCGGTAAGGACAACTCAAATATATTTGTTGGCATCATATTAAAGAACTGGAAAAAAAAAATAAAAATATTTGAAGCACTTTGTTGCCTAGTTATTAATTTTGATCATCATGGCATTTACACTTAGTTAAACAAAACCACAATGTAAGAAAGGGAAATTGCATCAGCACAAATTAGACTGAAGTGGGGTTTAAATTATTTCCTCTGAAAAATTAAGGAACTGCTTTTGCGTTTTATGACCTGTTTTATGACCTGTGGTGGATAGAATGTGTAAAGAGTCATGCATTGTTTTATATCGTATCATCTGAAGTATTACACAAATTGAAGTTCTTCATCAGCAGGTAGTAGCTGCTAGTCAGTAGCTGCTAGTGCAGTGGTGAGGACTCTGGAGTCCAGACCTGGAGGTTGTGGGTTCAAATCCCAGTCAAATTCCTGGTCTTGTGTTTGTTGTGACTGGTAAAATGAAGGAAACAGAAAAGTGGCATAGTCTTCTAATAACTTCAAAATGTCCCTGCATGTGCATTTGTGCTCTTTGCAATGGTACTTTGAGACATGTCCCCTGTTGAAGGGAATGGGTCTCCAGTTATGGGTTTATGGTTATTAATAATGTCAGCTCAGACCTTTGTCTCCAAACTTGCAGCAGAGAAGTGGAGGAGTGTGAAGGGAAGTTAAGTGGTACAGACAATCAGGACTGTGAATAAGAGGCTGCCTGGGTAGACTTTTGGGATCGTCAAGCTGCTAAAATCCTTGACATCCAGGTAGGTGACCTCTGACCCTTCTTATACTCACGTGTCCTCTTTTCCCCACTTCACCATGGGACACAGGGGACTACGCTGTCCTGTGTTTCAGAGTGAAGATGTGATTAGAAGGTACCCAGTTCAAACCCTGGCTATGTCCCTAAACTGCTCTGTTTCTACCCTCCTTGTACTCCGTCCTCTGAGCACGCAATACAACCCACCTGTTGTGAGGGAGTGTGAAACAGCCAATGTTGGCCATGGTTCAGCCCCTTACATTCTTAGTTATGAGGGTCCTGCTAATTTACTGCTGATTATGATTTTGATGGTTGACGGTGGATCTACATTGTGATCAGACCTTGAAAGAGTGTGGGACCTTGAAAGAGTGTGGGTCACGGACAGAATGACCCTGTGAAGCCTGAGAAAATGAAGCTCAAATTATACTTCCTAATGCTCAAGCACAGCCCTTCCAGGGAAACTACAGACAGCAAAGGCTGCAGGCCAGTGGGCTTTGCTGTTTACCCTGCTGAAGACCTGGACAGAAAGTCCTAATGTGGGGAAAGGCATGTTCGGTCAAGCCCCTTGGTGTACAGGACCTGCAGTGCCAGACTTCTGGGACATCAGTATTTCTTTAATGCTTAAGGAGGCAATGAAGTAGCAAAAAAAAAAATTAAATGTGAAATGGAGGTTCTTATTTCTGTTGTCAGATTTATTTCAGTTTTTTTAACTCCAGGTTCATTTCAGCTGCTATTCCATGATGGTCATGTAAGACAAACATTTGTCTTTTTGAAACCAATGGCGTATCTTTCTTTGTTCTCAAACATTAAAACTTTTCTTCGATACATTTTTAAAAACTGGGGAGCAGAAAATGGTTTCAAACGACCGCCTCCCCTTTGTAAGGCTAGCTAGAGATCTCCAGTGCTGATAGGTATCTTTAAATTCGAGCTCCAAGATGCGTCTGGTGGCTATGTCGATGTATTTTTGTCAATTGTAATTATGAGTTGGGGTCTTCTGTCTTTCTTATCAGAGATGTATTATTAAAAACCAAAGTGTCCATGCAGGCGCACTAGCTGTCTCCTGATCAGAGTGATTGTTTGAAAATAAGTTTGAAGTGCAAGAACCACATCTAATTTTTCATAGATATAGCACTGAAAAAAATCTTTTATTTAAAAAAAGACAAGCATCGTCCATTCAGCTCCGACTCATCATGCAACAAGCGGAAAATTGTGGTTGGCATTTATTTTTAATTGTATTATCTTCTTCAATTTCGTTTTTTTTTTTCAGCGGTATTTAGGTTCTGCTTGTGGTAGAAGCAGAGAGCAGAGCCCACTGATGCTGTGCTCAGACTGGATGAGCTGCAAGTGGGAGATAAAGGCCTCGTTCTGATAGTACATGTAGCTTCTCACACTAGTGACACGAAAGGCAGTGAGACCTGGTCCCAGGCTTACTGTGAGGGGCAGGTGCTCCCCAGGCCTGAAGCCCCTTCTGTAGTATGAGGGCTGCTGTTAGCCTTCATTTGCTGAAGCTGGGCATTGGGGCTGTCCAGGATGTCAAGCTCCCAGTGTGGTTGTTGGGGTGTTCCCTTTGAAACACAACTGTTCTTTAGGGTTGGAAAGGAAGTAGAAACGCCAGGTGAATAATTTATACAAGAGATTGCCTCCTGGGTTCTTTAAAACTGCTCCTTTAATTACTTGGCCTGATGTCTCAGGGAGGAAAAAATGACACCTTAAGACATGCAGCTTTATATCGGAAACCAACTTTACCACCCATAAACTGAAAATTCGCAGCTCCGTATCGCTTGTTATCACAGAAGAATAAACCACACAAGAAGGCACTAGTCTTGCTCGAGTTTCTCTTTCTCACACTGGTGGTCATTTCTCTTTCTGAAGTCAAAGCTTGATTTCTGTGTACAGCTGCCTTTCTCTTCTTCTGTTTTCTAAATTACTTACCTGGTTCAGTCACTGAGGTCTCTTTTTCACAGCAGTATGAACTGTCCCCCCCCCCTCCTTCCCTAAACAAAGAGAAAAGGTGTTCTCCGCACAGCCTGGAGACCTCTTTCTTTGGAAATGATATAACATCACTTTATTAGCCCTATACAGTTTCTTGCATTAGGATTTGGTTTTGAACCGGCAACCTTTCAGCCACAGGTACAGATCCTGAGCCACAGAGCCACCGCTCCACCCCAGATGGTGCTGAAATATTATTTTAGGTCATTAATTACCCTTAATCTGATTGGGTTAGTGCTTCATCTATTCAATAAGCTTCTCAAGCCATTTCTGGAAAACACACGAGTGAGTACAGAGACCACCATGAGTCTTGGACATGTGTGCTGTTTGATTGTAGATGACGGAGTGCTTTGACACCTTGTGGTAAAGAAACACTGAGGAAATGGATACCAGTATCCCACATGGCCCAGTGTTTCTGAGGAGAGGGTGGTAATTGGAGGAATCTCTAAGAACTGTGTAACAGCTGAGAAATCCTGGCTCTCCTGAAGTCCCCCCCGGGTTCAATTCTGTTTCCTAACCCAGGTCCCAACCCTCTGTTAAGCGAAGGTGTCCTTTCGGTTTTGTGGGATGGCTTATACAGCGGGGGGCTTCAGTATGTGTGAGTGCTGTGGTGGGTGCAGATTGTGAAACCAGGTGCTGTACAAGTGTCAGGTATTTTCTGGAATGACCTGATTGAAGACAAGCTAAAGGCTTGTGAGACTTGTGCATGGTGTGTCTGTTCTCAGGCCAGGCTGCAGTCCTGGCGCTGGGCATTGCTGGTGTCCCCTTACCCTGTCCAGCATCAAGGCCAGAGCACACACTACATCCCTCCACCCCAGAACAGCATTTCCATCACCAGATTTGGCAGCTGTCATGGTAATAAAACCCAGGATCTCCTTTTTCATGTCAGCCTCTGAATCCTTTTGATTTCTGAAAATCTCTGCATGCAGCTTTGAAAAACAGGATTCCTCCAAAAAATCAAGTGAGGAGTAGTCAGTCCTTTCATTCCTCTTCTGTTCTGCCACAGGAAAGCAGGATAAAGCTAACGCCAGCCCTGCGATGAAAACTCCTCTCCCCTTGTGGACAGAGCAACCCCATCTGCAGCTCCAGTGCTGAAGGCAGAGAACTCAGCAGAAGGGCAGAAGGTGCCTTGCAAAATCCGCTCGCCTTGAAGCTTGCCCTTTTACAACTACCTTCTGAAAACAGGGTGTGAGTTTCACTTTCATGCAGAGATCTGGTTAATCTATCGTTTGGTGCACAAATGCTCTTTCTCACTCATAACCGTTTTATTTTATGCTTTTAATCCTCCTTTAGAAAAGTGCGGTGTAAAGCTTTGCACTGGATTTAACACTTCAGAAAGCATGCTTTGACACATATGTGCTGACAGGAGCCTGTGTGTGTGACTGTATATATATAATTATTTTTTTGACCAGATAGATTCACATGACCCACTTCACAGGAGTCTGAAATGAGGATTTTAAATATGTTCACCGCAGTGATATTATTTTGCTTCTCCTTTCTTGGAAAGGGGCAAAACCAGCAGCACTAAGCTTGAAATTTGTGTATTTAATATACTCTCTCATGTGCACACA